GAATAGGTTTGGATGGACTGGCTAGTTATATTCCACTCAATTTATGTTGATTTTACCCAGGTAATAAGAGTAGTCAATGTCAATGCATTCGGCAGATGACTAACTTATCTTATGTGATTACATATAAGATAATTATCGAGCTAACAAGTAGTCCATCTATATCAAGTGATATAACTCCTTATGTTCCAGCACGTACCAGATATTTAGAAAAAAAGCAGAACCCCTTGAAAAATCTTGTCCATAAATAGTTGGACTCCTATCAGAAAACACTGAATGATGAATTTAGACCTAAATCTTCTCTTACCTTGCTATTTCCTCAAAGACTTAAACTGTATCTTTTTTTAAGAATTTAGAATTTTCCAAAATTTTTTTAATTAAAGGAGTAGTTAACCAAGAGACCAGAGTCGGGTAAGAACCCATGAACATCTATATCATAATCTTATAGTTTAGACTTTATGAGGTCTATCTATAATGAGTCGGTGAGGAACTAATTTAGGATACCTTTCAAATTCCTTATAAAACATGTTGAACAATTAATATTTAAGGGGGTCATACTAAGTTTTTACTTGTATAATCAAATATAAAAAAAATAGTTAATTTTTTGAGAAGATAATTTATTCTTAAATCTAAAATAAATCAATTATTTACTTCATTATCAACTGTTATAAAATAAGCAATATCTATTGTAAGAAAAACTTTGATTGTATAGCTTTTAAATCGGTATTTTAACTACTGGAAATTTAATTTTTTCAATTTTTATGCTTTTACATGTATATCCTTTTATTTTATATTTGCAATATCTTCATTAATATTAAAGATGATTATTTTTAAGACAGAAATTCTATAAAAATTCTATTCTTAATTTCTTAATTCTCCTGGACTAAAAAAATCATTATATCTTTGATTGGTATCACTAGTTAAGCATGCATTATTAAGATAGTAAAACGAAATCTAAAATTATCCTCTTTCTTCGACTTTTCAGGTGTCCCCATCAACAAACCTGAATATTAATAGTACTATTGTTAAATATACATTACTTGGGAATCTGACCATATTATCTTAAGCATTTATAATAACATCAACTCTAAAGCAGAATTTATTACCCTTCTCTTGTAATACATTATCTTTCAGAAATAATTTTATGGATATATTTTATAATAATTAATTTTATATGCCTTCAATAATCAAATTATTGTGTAATTCTCAAATATTTGCTGCAATTTATAATGATGAATAAAGAAAAAAAAAAATCTATTAATTGGGTTGATTTCTTTCTCTTTAAAAAGTGAAGTAATTTATTTGTAAAGTAATACTCTGATGTATATGGTGATAGGATCAAATATAATGTAGCTCACACCAATTGTACTTCCAATTAGAATTGACATATTTTCAATCTCTAAATTACATTTATTCCTAAATTATTTATGAAGTCTACCTCTTTTATAATTCAGAAATTAATAAAGCAAAAGAGAAAAGATGGAGTAATATATATCCTGTAATTATTGCTATACCTAAAATGCCTTAAAATCTATAAATTGCTTCAAATATCTTTAACACAGCTCTTAACAACAATAAAATTATATAATTAAGAAACAGTAAAGGAATAAGAGTAACTATTTCTATCAACAATGTTTCATATAATGACAATGGAATTTATATCATTAACAAAATTGACAGTTTTAGAATTTTATAACTTTTTGGAATACTTTTTTCTTCACAATAGAACAAACACAAAAATTCATGAATGAACTAAATATATTATAAAACTACTTTTATTGCATACTTGTAAACTATTAAATTACCTGGATAGCAAAAAATTTGAGTGTTTTTTTACTATGCTTGATCATTAGGGCTGCCAAGTGTTTCAGTATCTATATTCTATTCAGGGATTTTTTTCAACTCGCGAATAAGAGACCAGAAATAAATAAATAGTATAATTACTATAAAAATACCATGAACATAGAAAAAAGGTTAGTGATAAAAATAGCAATGCCCTAGATTTGTTTAGTTATTCTTCAAAATTTCGACTTACTCCAAGTCATTTTAAGTTTAATTTTAATATCTAATTAAAAAGATAATTCCAAGAGAAGGACATTAACAAGAAATCCTTGCTGACATATATTTTACATCTTAAACTTATAAGTTGCACTATTATAAATTTCCAACGCTATTATACTAAAGGCATTAAAGATGATATTTAGGAATAACACTATCCTAAATACAATATGAGTATTTAGTTATATCTATAAAATAATGAGTATTTAATCTTTCATAATCTCTAAACTAATTTCTTTAAAGAAAGTTTCGTAATTTAGTTTATGCATACACATTTTGATCAATTTCTAAATTAGAATAATTTAGAAAATCTTTTATTTCAGTAAAATTTTATTCAGAAATATTTAAGTAATTAAAGTATAGATTTAATTATTCTTTTTGAACGAAAACTATATATCCATCTGTAATATCCTTATCTAAACCCTCTTATTGATTATAGGCATCTTTTGTCATTTTTGCTGATTAATATTATAATACTTAACCATTTATAGTAAAAACTTAACCATTTACAGGCACCTAGGCATTTGAATAATGTAAAATTTCTTCAATTAGGTTAAGTAAATTTTTTGATAACACAATTATTTTTTTTTTATCTTCCTCAAATTATGCTGAAGTTTAGGCTATTTTCAAAAATAAATCATCTGCAACCAAAATAAGTGCATCTAATGAATTAGTAATTTGTTCTTTTTACTAAAATAATTATTCATTTATAAATATATCATCTTAATTTATTTCATTTTCTAACATAATAGCTTTCATGAAAATTTTGGTTACAGAATTGTTCAATTCTTAAAATTCTTAGATGTAATAAGAGATATTGTTAGATGAATGCAGTTTATTTCCAGAATTATCAATATAAAATAATTTTGATGTATTGTCAAAACAGCTTTCAGATTTAGTTTGAGCTAATAATCTTGATGAGGAGTTAACATTTTCCAAATTAACCTTAAATCTTTTATATAATTTGATAGTCTATAGAGCCAACAATTAATCAAATAAATCTTCTGAATCTAAATAACTTTTTATCTTCATTATTAATTATTCTGAAAATTTAGCACAATCTGCTTAATCAAAATGATTCAATATTATCTCTAACAACTAAATGATTTAATATTGATAAGTGAAATTTTTCTATAAATAATCTGAACAATTAAATAAAGCTTTTTATAAATTCAAACGTTACTCAATATTTGTTATAGATCCTCTTGAGTCCATTATTTAAATTAAAGCAATTCCTTAACAATAAGGCAAATATGCTTCAAAATAATTATATCTTTAAAAACTATTGAGAATCAAAGAATAGTCTGTCAGTTTATTTAAAAAATTTTAGTAGTCTTATTCACTCATAAAAAATCTCAATTAGTATTTAAATGGATAATCATCAGAAAATTCACAATTGGCCACAATTTTTTATGATGATAAAGCTTAGAATGTTTTTTGTTGCAGATTTATACTACAAATAGGAGGTTAATTCAAAGTTAATTTTAAGTCTTACTAATGAGGTATTATTTCATTTGTAAATTGAGCTAAAAATTTTAAATAAAATGATTCTCCTTTTTGAAATTGTTGAAAATGATCAAACAATCTAAAATTATATTTTTCAGAAGTAGGTTCTAATATCTTTATAATTTCAAAGTCATATATTATAGCTATCTAATATTAGAGCAAGTATAACTTATCCTCCAAAGAAACATTATAATAAAACTATAAAGTTTCATAATTATTTATTGGTCTTATTGAGTATCCTTTACTATATTAAACATCTAGAATTTTAACTTCATTTTCTAAAAAAACAATGTTTTCTTGAAATTGATATGATTGTTATTATTTTTCTGCCAAAACAATCCAAGCCTGTATAGTATAAGGTTCAACTGTCATTTTCTTAATAATTTGTATTGTATCAGTTTTATTAACTTAGATAATCTTTTTATTCACATCCAAACATACTTGATTTTATGTTAAATCTAAACATTTTACTTCTATTTTAATATCTGAATCTTCATTCCAATCAAATATAGTGTCAATATCCCTGCATTTAATGTTAATAATTAAGTCTTTTCGATAATGTTAAATTTTTTTAGTGTTATCAAAAACGCACAATAAACCTCTCTTTAGAATTTAGATAGTTATATTTTGAGAATTTGAAAAATTACTTATTTTTTCTTCTGTATTAACTGAAAATGTATAAGCAGTCTAAGGTGTTAATGTGAACTTTTGAATAGTTAAATTAAAATTATTCTCACTTATATTTTTTGAAAAATAGCTTTCTGATGATCTAGAATTTGAGTCATTTCTGTGTGATTCAAAAAATGTCACATCATAAATAGAATTATCTTCTTGGTTAAATTAAGTTTAGCTAGAACAATTCCTTTTTGAGATTCTAAATAGAAAATCAATTATTTCAAAAGTATAATATTATTTCCTTCCCAACCATAGTACTGTTGGAAATTATCCAGAATGAGTGTATACTTAAAATTAAGATTATGCCTATTTATTGATAAAATTTTGATATTCAATATAAAAAGTTATTTACGATTGTTTTGGAAGGGTGTAACTTGGTAGCATTAATTCTAATTGTTAAAAAGTTGTTTGATCTACAACTAACTATTCAAGATTACCATTACCATAGTCCCCTTCTACTGAAAAAAACCATGATATACTCTTGAAGATGCGTAAACCATCATATATTTTTGTCTTAATTAAAATAACATTATCATCACATGGATTGAGTAAATATTAAGGCAAATCATATTCGATTTAAGGAGAATTTTAAATCAAAGGATATTTTATTGTATTGAAAATAAAGGAATTTAGTTTGTTAGTGCAGTTTTTATGGCGAAATGAATTTTTGACAAATATAATTGGGTCATTTGGAAGTATGGAAGCATTTTAACCTAATTATAGAAATAATTATTTATCGTCCTCCAAATTTAAAAGACATTAAGGATTATTTCCTAATTATTTTATTGTTTAGGTATCTAAAATTGTTAAGCAATCATTTTGTTAAAGATAATTAAGAAAAGAATTTGGATTTAAAGGAAAGTCAAATTCCACTATGATATAAAGTAAATCATCAGAAAATCGAATATCTAACACAGCAACTTCGCAATCTATAAAATTAACATTTTCTATTATACTTGAACACCATGGAGTATCTTAATGGCCTATAGAGTTTTCAGGACAATCGCAAGTCTTTTTGTTTGATGATAATAATCTATTCCCGTTGCATGTTACACATCCTTCCTAATTGCATGTTTTGCAATTCGAGTCACACATACTACAGTTTAAACTTTGATAATCTTCATAATATCCATCTTAGCAATGGCAAATTGGATTGTTAATACGATTTCCTTTGCAGATTATGCAATTAGATTGATAGTTTTCGCAGGTTTAACATTAAAACTCGCACTCTATAAAATTTTCAAATGGTATTACTTAAACAATCTGGTTATTCAGCTTCAAAATATCCTTCTTAACAATCACAAGTCTTGTTTGTCCTATTCTTTTTGCAACTTGTGCAATTTGATGATTGTTTTTCACAGGTATCACATTAATTTGCACATGCTAAACAATTTAATTCTTCGTCCTCAAAATACCCAGCTTTACATAAACAAGCAGGAGCTCCTTCTCTCAAATTACCAAAACATTATGAACAATTATCTGCTGTCTAAAAACACGTTCTACATTAATGATTGCATTTTTGACATTATAATTTTACTCCATCATCATAATAACCATCTTTACAATCACAATTTTATGAGATTGATAAACGATTAGCATTATTAGAATATTAACAACTTACACATTTATCTCTTTTTTATATGCAACCAGAACATTTAATATGACATTCTAAAATTGACATAATATTTTATACTTTCACATAATTCCTCCTCATTTTGAAAGAAATTAGACAGACAAGGGCATTTATGAATTGCAGATTAATCAATTCTATATTAATTAATATCACAACTTGTGCAGTAATCTTTCTTTCCTTAACATGTTAAGCAGGATTTGGAGCATTCTAAAGTCATTTTATATTGATAATACTTTCACATATTAATTATCCATTATCATAATATCCAGCTTTACATTTACATTAATTTCCTTCTAATACTCTAATCTATTCATTTTCAAAGCAAGAAAAGCATTTGGTAGCAATTGCTTAACAAGTTTTGCATTTGCTATTGCATTTCTAGCACATTTCAATTCCTACATCAAAATAGCCGTCTTAACAAACACATTAATTTAAATTTTTTAACACACGAAAATATGTAGATTCACATGTTAAGCAATTAAATTATGTATTACATGTCTTACAAGATGGATCGCAATCTATTCTAAAATACTTTATTACTTGAACATTATTTTTAATTCATTTCAAAAAATCCTTCTCTGCATTGACAAGAAAAGGTATCCCCATCATAATATCTAGTTAATGGTTCACACTCAATACACTATGCTGCACTTTAGCATTCCTTACATGTTATGTTGCAGGCTAACAGTATATAAAATATTTACCTTCGCACAATTTACTTGAAGGATTAAAATAATAACTAGACTTACAAATGCATGAGTTTTGATTAGATAATTCTAAGCTTAATAAAGGATCACATGATAAGCAATATTAAGAACTACCTTAACAAGTAAGGCAAGATTAATGGCATTTTACACATTACTGAGAAAGATCTTCAAAATATCCATCTTTGCAGGCGCATTAATTTCCAGGTATAAAAATTCTAAAGTTATCTACTGAACATGTTAAACAATAATTTGCTTAATTTATACATGTCAAACATGTTTTATTGCAGAGCATGCATTCTTTACTAGTTCCTACTTCATACGTGCCTTCAACACAAATGCAGTTGTTATTCTATAATTATTTCATTTATCCACATGATGTGCAATTAGAAGTTTGATTTAAACATGTCTTACAAGTGATATCACACTGTTAACAAACTCCATTAATTTCAGTAGTTCCAACTTAGCAGATGCATTTTGAAGTTTATTTATCTAAAATTTTCATTATTGATGAATCACATTCGGTACACATTGTAGAATTAGTTACACAATTAACACAACTCTGATCACATTTTTAACAGTATTCTTGTCCAGTTTCAAAATAATTCGAATCACAATCACATTAATTTCCATTTAAATGTCTTGTTAAAGAGCACTAGGTGCAATTATGCGATTAAAATTCACAAGATAGACATTAAATTTCACATTTTTTACAATAAATTGACGATCCATCATCATAATAACCTATAAGACATTAACAAATTCCTTCATTATACACTCTAAAAGAAACATTCTAATCGATGCATGATATACATTAATTATATTATTAGCCATTACATGTTAAACAAGAATGATGGCATAATGAACAAATTTCCACTCCAGCATCATAATAAGTATTTTTACAAAGACAAGAATTGAAAACACTGTCGAAAAATCTTTATGAAGTTCCTGAACACGAAACACATTTTGTTGCAATCTAAGTGCAAGTCTTGCAAGAATAATGGCATTCTATAATCAATATTATTAATTACACTAACAAATAGAATTCTTTCCATCATCATAATAGCCATCTGGACATAAACATTAGGAATTAATAAGTATTCTTAAGCTCAAAGGAGGGCAAGATAAGCATAAGGTTTCTGAGATAGAACAGTTTTGGCATCTATAATTACATTCTATTCTATAAACTAAATTATACATTAGCATTTTGGTTTCCCTATATCAAAATAATTGTTCATACAAACACAAGACTTACCTTATAAAATTCTATTTTCCAAATCCCAGCATGAATTGCATTCATTAGATGAACGGCCTGTACAATTTAAACAAGAATAATGACAGCCTATTTTTAATTTTACTACTATTACTTTAACATGTCATGCTATTTGATGTTTAATATTTAGAGATTGATGATCCTTAAAGCTTTGTTCTGCATATACATGAATTTCCATTTAAATATTTATCTGGTTAGCATGATATACAATTGTCAGCAGAAGTTTAACATTCTAAGCAGACATTGCTACAAGCTAAAATAATTTTTTGAATTTACCTTAGCATTCAGACTATCCGCTATCATAATATTTTGAATCACACAAACATTCACCTGAAATATTTAGTGATCTTTTGGTTACTTCATTACAAGTTAAACATTAATTTGATTAGCTCCCAATGCATGTCAAACATGTATTATGGCATACTTCAATATCAATTATTATTACTAATGCATTATGGATTTCCAGGTTCATCATATGATTTGGGAGGGCATAAACATGAATTGTCTACTCCAAGTTCTCTAAATGAAAATTCAGGACATTAAACACAATTATCAATTGTCCCAATACACGAAGCACACCTGTATGAACATTCTTATAATTTTTTTTAATTCTTACTCAAACATATTTAATCTCCAAATTCTTTTTCTAAATGCTAATCCTTGCAAACACATTTGTTAGCTTTAACTATTCTATTGCTTGAATTTGAACAAGTAATACAATTATCAATTAAAGAACCAAAGCAAGTCATACATGTATAATAGCATTCTTCAAATATAATTTGATATTACTTTAACATTCTATTAAACCGACATCATAATAACCGTAAGGACATTCACATTTTGATATGATTAATTATCTATAGTTTAAGTCACAAGTTAAACAATTTGTTTCGTTAATTCCATTGCAAGTTTTACATTTAAAATGGCATTCTAAGCATTCTAATTAATTTTCATCATTATAAGTATGTGAATCTTTGCATAAGCATTTAAAAGTTGTTCCAACTCTATCTGGTTCCCTTGTAGAAGGACAACTTGTGCATAAATCTTCACCATATTCATTACAGCTCAAACAAGAATGATGGCAAGTTACTAAATATAATTATAAATAATCACAATAGCAAAGCATATCATTATTGCCTTTATCTTAATAACCATCTTCACATTAACATTCAGAATTTGTGTTCAAATATCTCAAATTTTGGCTTGAACATTTTGTACAATTAGTAGATAGTGGTCCATTGCAACTTTAGCAAGAATAATGACATTCTAAAATTGAAATCATAATTTTACTAAAACAGATATCCACTATTCCATCCTCTCCATACCCGCTCCTACAAACACATTTTAAATCATCAGAAACAACTCTATTTTATCCTGGTATGCACATTGTACAATATTAATTTGTAGAATTATCATATGGTAATTGACATTTTTCACATTTTGGATGACAAACTTATAATTAATCTTATTTATACTTAAACACTTAGTTAACACACTGCTTTCAATTATTTCAATTGTTCTAGGTTCACAGATGCATTTTCCACCAACTAATTACTTGTGATAAATATTTGGATCTCCACAGTCAGTACATTCATTTTCATAAGGTCCTGAACAATTATAACATGAAGGATAACATTCTAAATTATTTAATTTAATACTCTAGCAAATTTTATCCTGAAGTCCTGGATCATAATATCCTTAAAAACATGGACAAGTATTTCCTACAAGTATTCTATTTTGTAATGGATCGCATGATGTACATTCTCCAAATATTAAAGTACATGTTTGACAATATCCATTTGAACATAAAATACATTCACCATTTAAATCTGCATAACCTTAATCTTAATCACAAACACATTTTCCTGGAATTATCCTAGCAGTCCATTTTTATTCATAAAAACAGGTTGTACAATAATTAGGATCTGTAACATAACATGTTTAACATTTAGGGTTACACTAAATTGTAGTAAGTTCACATTTTTTATCATTTGTTAAATCATACTCTGAAAAGCAGCTTTTACATTCATTTGCATTGTGACAAATAAAACAAAACTCTAATCCAGGTTCAAGCTGACAAGCTAAAATTATAAATAATATAAAACAAGCACATCTTGTCCCTTTCTTAAAAAAACCAAAATCACATTATTCACAGTCTGTGTCTATTGCAACTCCATAAGTATCGTAAATATAATTGTATTTCATACAATTCTCATCACCCAGGCATTTAGAATTTTTTAAAGTATAAAGAAACATACATTCTTAACAATCTCCTAATAAACATACTTTGCAATTTGTTGGGCATTCTTGGATATTATTAATGATAATACAAACGCAATCTCCATTCAGTAATTCGTAACCATCCATACATTCAATTAACGAATATCCATTTTAATTTTATAAACAGGTTTTATGACCAGTCAAACATTCTTAAATTATTATTTTTCTTACTCAAACTACATTTAAAGTCAGTGCTACTTAATGGAGAATAACCATCTAAGCAGGAAGCACACTTGGTATTGGTGGAAGTACATGTTTTACAATTAGCTCCGCAAGCTGTAAAATTAAGGAAAGTTTTACGTTACTAAGCAAATGTCGAGGCACAATTTTCACCAAATCGTTACCCTTAACAGTATTAACATTTATAAATTCCAGAATACTTTTATCCAATTTTGCAATAATTATCAGATAAAGAAAGTATAGCTTCAGTAGAATACATTAAATTTCCATATTCATCATATGAATATATCATTGTATAGGGATACTTTCCATAAAATTCACGAGAATCATTACTAGGACCAAGTTCATAGCTTTATAATCTAGGATTGCACATCATTTCTCGGTTATTGAAATAGGCCAATTTAAATTCAGTTGTACCTTTACACGCTTTTGAAATACCTTTTCATAAAATAAATATTTTACTTAAACAGCGATGAGGGTATATATCTGGAAAATATTATGATGAAAGAGGACAGATAAAACCAAACACTGATTTATTAAACTGAACTTTGTAGGATCTATAGCACCAATAAACTTGGAACAGCCATAGTAAGATAAGATTTTTTATTTAAGTCATTTTTCAAATCTTTTTTTTCCTTATTTATTATTAAACTTATCAAACTTCAGAATTTTTATGTTTAATATTTAGATAATATATAGTATTAAAGAATTTAAAAAAATACCTATTTTGTCATTTTTAATTCTATATATAGCCAAAAAATTTAGTTGGCATAAAATCACATTTTAATACAACATGTTCTTAAACATTTTAATCTTTATTAAGGTTAATTTCCTCTCTTATAAAGTTGAGTAAAAATCAAAAATATACGATACCTTATTTTCTTTTTTTTTATTTCCCTCAACTTTTGGTTTTATTTTATTCGACTTTGGAAATCAAACAAAAACATCATAAATATAAAGTTTCTAAGGTTTCATTGTAATTTTCTAAAAACTGGAGTTTTTTTCATTAATTGATGATTATATCAAATCGTTAAAGTAATTTTCCATTCATTTGTATTATATTGCTAGAATCAATTTATGTGTAGATTTTCTGACAATATTTTCCCAGAAGTTGTTCAAGAGAGATTAAACTAAGTAAAAAAATTAATATTCTAATAATTCATAAAGTTAAATAACTAGTTTTGTGTCTTATAACCTGGTGTTGGGTGATAATAGAGAGAGAGGAAATAGTATTATGTAACTTTTAAGATTTGTAATAGGTTCCATTTACTGATTCAGATTTCTTAATTGAAAAACATCTTCTTACTTATCAAACATAACATTTACAAATAAAAAATACGATTATAATTAAATATAAAAAATTATAAAAATTGAAAGAATAAGCCAATCAATTTCAAATTTCACTTTCCTTTGCCTAAAGCATTTTCAAATTATATATTAAATATTTAAACAATAGAAAATTCAACTCTCCTAATGATTGAGAAAATGAATAAAATTTTACTTTGGAATAAACAATAGGCAATTAATTGAGTAAGTTCGTGATGCTTTAAGTTTTTGTTTAGAAATTAAGAATGATACTAAATAAAAGCAAAACCGTATGGAAAAATCAATTGTTGTAGAAAAATAATTTGTACCAGAAATGAATAAAAAAGTTATTTATTTCATAATTCAAGTTTGAATATAATTCAAAAATTTCTGCTTATTTGGTTGATTTCAATGTTTTTTTTGATGTTTTGAAATTCCTCTTACAGATAGAACATTAAATTTTCAAAAAAGAGCTTAAATTTGAAATAATACTGCAAGAAAATAAAGATTGCTTCTCTTTATTTTTAATAAGTAAGAAAACATAAAAATATTGAGATATATCATTAATTTTGGAATTGAAGGCATTCTGAAGCCTGATGTGACACATCTATTAAGAGGAAGATAAATTTGTTAAAATAATTTGATAATGAAAATTGTTAATCCATTATAATTATTACTTTGAAATATAGTGAATTTTTTAATAAGAATATTTAATAAAATTAAATAATTTTTAATGAAAATAAATTCAATTAAAAAGGGATGAATACTAGATTCTTACTTTATAAACCATATATGATTATTTGGTTCGTTATTTTTAATGTTAAAAGTCCCATCTCATTTGAGTCTTTAAGCTTGAAACAAATACGCAAGTACCCTTAAAAAAGGTATTAATTTAAGAAAAGAAATAAGAATTTGTGTTTCTTAAGTCAATTATTTATTGAACAAGAATTGTGATTAATATATAATCGAATTAATAAAAAATTGCACAAGAGTTTTCTTAATCCTAAAATGACTAAAAGAAATAATAGCATTTATCTACAATCATCCTAAACTTTGAAGACTTTTTCTTTTGATCTAATTCAAACTGATAATTGGTTTTATAAAGAAATTAATACTTAAATATTAATAATTATCATAAGGCTATATTTAGAGAAGAGATAAATTATAAATTTAAAGAATTGAATTATAAGCCATGAGTTACAGATAAATGATTATGGATTTTTTAATTCTTAACTGCTTGATTTTACTTAAATTATATTTTAACGTTTACAAACCTTTCCTATTCATTGTTTTATATATTCTGATTCTAAATCCTAATAAAAATTAAAAGTTACTTAAATTACTTTATTACTTGATAAGTACTTGTATAAATCGGATGCATAAATTCGTTTGATATAATTAAGTTATTTAATTATAAAACCTTTAATAAAAGAGAATTTGATCAATTTTAGAAACTGTAAATATTGTACTTATAAAATTTGTCTTTTTCATGAAAATAGAAAAAAAATGATTTAGTGAGATAATTGACTATAAAAAGAAGAATGAAAATGCTATTTCTAATATTCGAAATGGACTTTTTAGAATTGTTCAAGTAACAGGGATCTTGTTTAAATGATAAATTTTCATTAATTCTATTTTTATTTTTCTGTTTTTAATATTGGTTAGAAAATTATTATTATTTTAATCATCATATAGTTAAATTATCAAAATTGAGTTGATTTGGTTTAATCTTAAATTTATTGCTCTTACTATTAGTTAACTTAAGTTTTGAAATCATAAACTTTATATCCCAGTCTATTTTCTCAAGATCAGCACAATATTCTCATCTCAACCTTCATAACCAACGTTTATTCTTTTTATAACCATTAATTTTCAACTGTTATTTTATCAAATCACAATATTATCATAATATAAATTATAAGAAAACAGAATGAAAGAGTTTTATAAAGATTAAATGTCTATTAGAATGGATATAATTACACATTTCAAAAGTTTACTCAATCATTCAAGACTCTTTTTAATTATTTTCCTTTAGATTATTGAATTTATGTAGAAATAAAAATTAAATTTCTACTAAAATTTTAATTGAGAAAAATTAAATAGATTCATTTCAGCAAAATACTCAATATATGTAAATAAACTTGCTCATATTTATTTGGATGAAATTAAACTGTTAAAATATTGAATTCAAGCAAATACAATCCATCAAACTTTCGAATTGACTAATAGGATTTTAAATGAAAATGTAGAATTAGAAAGTATTTTATTATAACACAAATTAATTATTATGTTTCTTATTTTAAAACAATGTTTGAATAGATTTTACTTATATCCTAAAATATTATAAAAATAAATATTTAAATTTACTCAACAATCAATTAGAAATTAATCTAATTCTATTAAATTATACTTAAAATAAAATTTTAAGATTAATTTTCATAAATATTATATATGAATTAAAGCAGTGTAAGCATTCAAATCGCTTTACTCTACTCAATAAAGACAGATGATGAGTCGGAATCTTAAATTGACAAAATTGACTTTATGAATAATAATACTTAATAATTCTATTCTAGAATATAAAATGAAATTCTTTAAGTCAAAGGTTTATTTGGAATCTATCAAGAAGTTTAAAGAGAAATTTAATTGCAAATAAATGAAATTGTGAACTTGTAATCATATTTAAGTCATTCTGAGAAGGGTAGCTTAATAGCCATAAAGTACGAAAATATTATGATATTTTGTTTGATTCTCTCTGAAACATTTTTTGTTACTAAACCCATCAATGAAAAAGCTATTGAAATAGTACTTTTTAGAGTATTATAAGATTTAACTGACAATATTAAACTTTGCTTTAATGATGAACAATTGAAAAAAAATTGGTATTAAGGAGATATAATTCCTTTTAATTAAATATAGCAAAGAACTGAGTATTATTTTGCTGAAAGTGAAAATAAGCAAATTTAATAATATGATTGTATATGGAGTTTGTCATCTAAAAATAATAGAGATTACAATATCATTAATTCATAGACATTATCTCCTTAACTAACTAGAATAAGGAAACTGCAATTTAGTTAGTAAGAATCTAAAAACTTTGATTAAAATTTCGACAAATTTATAATATTATTATTGCTTTAAATTTTAAATACCAATTCAAAGTAAATAAGCCAATTAATAGGAATATTAAACATTGAGTATCAAAGCTAAACATTGAAAATTATGCTTAATTAAGTATCAGATGAATTAGAAAAGGAGGCTAATAGTTGCATAAATATATTAATAGAAACATTAGTAAATGAAAGGAAATCAATTTTTACATCATCAAAAATAATAGATAATCAAAGGAAGAAGTTTGAGGAATAAGTAAATAATATTTTAAAAACATTGAAATTATCAGATAAAAGAGTATTGGTTTATAACCAAGAATTAATTCAAAAAAATGATTAATAACTCTTTGAATTGTAGATGGATAAATTTTGGAAATTATTGGAAGAAAAAATTAGTAGAATTAAAACTAATTTTAATTGTGAAAAAAATGCAATAATTGATGAATTAAGGACATCGTATGTAGTAGAGAGAATCAGCTTAAGATTATAAAGAGTTGATGAAAATCAATCAGGAAGTGTCAAGAGTATTTCCCAAATAGATAATTAATAATATACAATTTTAAATAAAAATTGTTTTAAGCTCTAATCTTCTGAATTTAACATAAAGGATATTTTTGAAACAAAAGAAAAAGCTCGCATATATATAATAACTTCTCAAGGAAATAAAAAAAAATGCTAAACTCACATATATTTCCATATGTATAAAACAACTTAAATATAATCAATAAAATAATTAGATATAAAGGATACAGAATAAGCTGTTTTCTTTCATGATTATAGTAGAGGATGTTTGTATATATTTAACTTTAAAAAATTCTAAGTTTTGCAAATGATAATAACAGATAAAGGATTAATTTCAAGTGAATCTTAAATTTATTATTAACAAGAGCTCTCAAGCCGTTTTATAGTTTCTCATGTGGCATATTTGAATACTATGAATAAATTCCTAGTATTGTCAAAAGATAAGTTAATTTATAAATCGCAAGATTAGGGATAAGATTTTGAAAAAGTGAAATGCAAAATATAAATTGAAAATCTTGATCCCTAAGAAGAAGAATTCAAAGCAACCATTTAACCAGATATAAAATATAATTAATTAATTGGTTGCCCTAGCGGAAGATACTTTTATCTTGCCAACAACTATTGTTGTGATAGATATGATTTAAATTGTTTGAAATTAGATTACATTAAAATAGATGGACCAATCAAAATATTTGCTGATTTTTAGGATGTCATAATTTTAGGTCAACTTAATTCTACAGAAGTTCTGGCAAAGAATGCAAAAATCATTAGTAATTTAGTTTCTTAAAAAAAATTTAATAAATAAGAAAATTATGAAAAAAATGTGATTGGAAATCCTGCACTTGATATCGTTAAAGGTTCTTTTATAAAATTTGGCCCAAACTCTTAATTTTTATTAAAAGAAAAGTTGAAACACATTAGTTTATATGTTAATAAAGAATATTATGATAAAATAGATCCTTATTTAAATATATTGAATGTGAATGAAATCATTCTAAGTTCTTCAAAGCTTTAGTTTGCAGAATATAAAAATGAATAAATAAAAAATATTATATTTTCTAGAGTTCCTCTATAATTATGTACAATTGAAAATAGTAACTTAATACCTCTAAATGATGGATTTAGACAACAATCTTAAACTTAAACTATAATAAGTGTAGATTAAAAAGTTAAATAATTACATTTAGGATTTTTAGAAGATCATTTGTCTAATTATAATAATAAGATATTTGTAGTTGGTATTATAGGAAAATAATCATCAGGCAAAAGTTATTTATTAAATAGAGTATTTGGTACTCGTTTTTCAGTTTCATCAGCTAGATGTACTGATGGTGTTTGGGGAAGTATAGCATATATTGAAGATTAAACATTTTTAGTCTTAGATTGTGAAGGATTATTTAATGGAGCTAGGACAGATAAAGAAGAAATAAAAATTTTAGCATTTCTTACTGCATTATGTGATATTACAATATTAAATTCTGATTTAACTTTTAATAGACATTTCAATGAATTGTTCAATCATTTAGTTGAAGCATCTAAGTAATTAAATGATGAAAAATTATTTAAAGGAATTTTATATTATATTTTAAGAGATGTAAGTTCAAATGATAATTCAGGAGCAGAAAAAGAATTATTAAAAAATCTTGAAAGACTTAAAGAAAGTGGAACAGAAGAAATAGTATTCTTAAAGAGATTATTTAATAATAAATTTGCAGTAGAAAAATTAGTCAATTATGAAGTAAAATTGTTTGATTAATAACTCATTGCTGTAAGAAAATACTTTTTAGATAATTCTGCAAAATCAAATCGTTGGAAGGATGGTAAACAATTAATTTAGATTATGAAAATATTGCTATGCTAATTGGAATTATCGGATAATACTTATGCAAGTTTGATAGATTTGTAATTAAGGATAGATAAGATTTTTGAAGAGAGCAATGAATTATGGTATGATTTTTTTTTGAATGAAGTTTCTGATAATAATTTGTAGTTAGTTTAAAGTGATTATAAGTTTCCAAAACATGAAAAACACTAGCATTTGTTATTTAATATAGACTTAGTGAAATAATTATATAAAAATCTAATTACAGAAGATACTATCTCAACCCATAATAAAAATTTGCTCTAGATAAAAACCCAATTTCATTTAATGATGGAAAAAAGAAAAGAATTAATTATTTAAAGAGCATAATCAGAAACAATTAATATTAATAATGAAGAAGTCAAAGTGATTATTGAAAAAAATATGTCTTTATTAAAGATTTTCTTAACAGACCAAATAAAATAGTACTAATTTTGTGAAGATAAATGTAATGACTGCCATTTACAATGTAAATCATTTAAAAATCATATTGAAATATCCTAAACACTGATGTAAAAGTTGCATATAGATATAGACTATTTAGAAAAAAAGCATAAAAAATAAAAAATAAAAAATAAAACACAAGAATAAGAGAAGAGAGAAAGAATTGATTAAATTAATGAGGGAATAAAATAAGCTGAACAAAATTTAGAAGGATTAATAATTTCAAAGAAAATAATTGAAATTAAGGAAAAATTATCTAAGGAAAAAGATGCTATGAAGAAATATGATTTCTATGATTCAAATGGAGAATATATAGACACAAATGTTTTTCAAATGACCTAATTTCAAAATGAAAATTTGCAAACTGCTACTTTAGAGAATATGGAAAAAATACAAAATCTATTAGTCAAAGAAATTCCATTACTTCGAAAAACCAAAGAGCTGAATAATAAAAGAATTTAATAATAAGAAGCTTAACTTGAATAATTAGAAAAAGATTTAATTATTGAGATGGATCAAGTAAGGGAGATTGAAACAAATTAAGTTAAGTTATCATCTAGTATAAATTAAATTAATGAGTAAAAACTAAAAATATTTCAGGATTTGTAAAGTGTTCAAAATGAAATTTCAACAATATAGAATGTTGGTTAAGATATTAATATTCCAAATTTGTAATCTATAGTTTATGATGAAAATAGTAAGTTAATAGAAATTGGATAAGAACTTTAAATTTAAGAGTCGATTTATAAATAAAATTCTGAAGAATTAGAAAGCTTATTAAAAATGTAGGAAGAAGAATAAATTTAGTATTTAGATCAATTAGAGTAAGATATAAATGAATATCTTGAAAAATAGAATTAATTGGATGAAGAAATCGAAACCCTTAAGAAAAAAAAAAGAGATATAGAAGAAATTAGAATGAAATTAGAAAAAGAAAAATCAAAAAAAATGGGAAGAAACGAGAAAAAAATTATGGAATTAAATTAAGAATTAAAAGGATTAGATGAGAAATTAATAAATGATTAACTATAATATTGTGAATTAAAGCAGAAAGAAATAGAACAAAATTTTAAAAATTTCGAAAATTCTGAGTTATATAATAAATGTATAGAAGAAATATAATAAGAGTAAAAATAAGATTAAATGGATAATAAATGTATAGAAAAAATATAAAAAGAGTAAGTATAAGATTCAATTGATAATAAATGTATAGAATAATAAGAGTTCTAAATTCAAACTAATTAATTAGAAATGAATTTGTATAATTAGTAAAATTAATGCCAGCAGAATTAATATTTTGAAACTAAAAATAAAAATTAGGAAAAAAAATTAAATGAAACTAAGCCTTAAATAATAAAATTATTATTAAAAAAAAAAAAAGAAATAGCGCTTTAATGCAAGGTTAAAATAGATGATTTAAAAGAGTAAATTGAATAAATGAAAAATAAAATTGATAATATTAACTAAAAGATTTAAGAAACACTGAAGATGAATAAGCTTCTATCTACTTCAGAAAGTTAAAAGTCAGACATTTCTTAATTTGATGAAAGATTAAAAAGTTTGAACTAAAAATTATTGTTAGAAGCAGGAAAACTTTGTAAAATAAAGCAAAATTAAGAAACAATAAAAAATAATATAGATGAGTTTGTACAAAATAATAAGGAACTTGAAAATAAGAATGCCTAAATAGATGAATTGGATAATAAGTTAAATTTAAGATAAGATTAAATAAATATTTTTAAAGAGAATTTAAACGAATATATAATCTTATAAAATACACTACAAGAAGAAGAAATTTAATTGTAAAAATTTAATGATTTTGAATCAGTTAAAAATTTATCATAATCCGAAGTTTATAGCAAAATATAACAACTTGAAAATAAAATCTAAATTCTTAAAGAGGAAAAAGACTCAATAAGCAAATAACTCAGTACATTTAATTAAATTGCATAACTTGAATAAGATTTAAAAAACAAATATGATTTAAAAAAAAAACTTGTTGAATTAAAATTTGAAGTACACTCATGTTAAAGGCAGAGTCACAATTGTGATTAAAATTGTAAAATATGTCCTAATTAAACATGTGATAAAAAAGCTGGACATGATGAATAAGAAGAACATTTATGTTAAAAATAGGATCATAAATGCTAAGATGTTTGTTAGGTAATTAATTGCTAGAGAAAGTGTATGAAAAGGTTCAAACATGATTTTTAACATAAATGTGAATACAATCACCCTTGCATTTAAAAATGCTAATACTGTGATAAAAGATGTAAAAAGGATCTTTCAAATCCTCATGAAAATAATCATGATTGTTCAGATAAATATTGCACACATTATTGTAAATTGTGTTCAAGAAAATGCTGTGAATCACATCAACACTCAAAAGAAAATGACAACCATTTTTGTGAAGATGTCCATTATTGTTAAGAATAATGTGAAATAGGTGGGATTTGCAAATTAGAATATGAGGTAATCTAACCAATATGGAACACTTCGATAGCTGAATTCAAATATACTTAATACATACCTAAGGATAATGGTAAATAAAGATGCCAGAAGTAGTTACCTGTAGGAAGCATTTTGCATGATGGAAAACACATATGTAAGAATGAAACCAAAAATCAATTTCATATTTGTAATGAAAAATGTCCTGAGTGTAATACATATTGCGATTTAAAGTATGGTCATCAAGGACTTCATTCATCAGACAGACATAGAAATAAAGAAAATTAAATATTTACCATTTAAGAAGGGTACTCGGCCCTCATTAAAATCCAAGATTAATAAGAAACAAAACTAAGAAAATATTAGATTGGAGAAAGTTCTGCCCCTGAAACATGCGATTAGAGCTGCAAAAGAAGAGGAAGATCTCATTTTCATCTAGTTAAATGTCAAGGAGGTTACAATTGTTTGTAAAACAAAAATTAATATAAAGCCAGGCATTCAAAAGAAAAATATGTTAAATTTGAAGATCTTAATTTTGACGAAGTCTTGTGTATAGACTTTTGGAAATTAAAAAATTGGGCCCATCCAATCTTCAATGAATTGGGCATTATTAATAAATGTAATTACTATTGCCCTTTATGTATCATATAAACTAATAATTATTAATTTTGTGATAGTAATGCATGGCATACAAATGATGATAAAATAAGCGCTCATTCATTTTCTTGTATAGAAAATCATTTATAGAACTAAATTTAAGGGATAAATGTAACTTTTGTTATAGACTCTACATTATCTATGGGAAAATACTTAGAAAAGTGTAAACTTACAATTAGGGATATTATGCAAAAAATTAAAGTTTAAATATATGTTTATGGTAAGCAACTCGAAGTTAATTTTGCTGCTGTGACTTACAAGGATCACAAGACTCCTTATGATCAATCTTAAAAAATTATTGATATATAAGATTTCACTTCAGAAAATGTTATCATTTCTTTCTTAGATAAAATAGTTTTAGAACATGGAATAGATTATCCAGAAGCTGTCTTGGATGGATTAGATGCCTCATTAAAGTTAAAATGGAATCCAAATTATGAGAAACTGCTTTATTTAATAGCTGATTCTCCTCCTCATGGAAAATTATATCATAATTATCTTGATAATTTTCCTGAAGGCTGTCCATGTGGATTGAAATAAGAGAGCATCTTTAGAACGTTATAAAATATAAAGGTTAAGTTTAAAATATTAAAAGTAAATTAACATATCGAGATGATGATTGCTGAATTTAAAAAAGACTTTAAAGATTTATAAGTACTTACACCTGATAAATAAAATGAAGATACTTTTTTTAATTTAATCGTTGACGACGTATGTAGATTGTTGGCTAATAATGAAATTACATATGAGATGAAAAATGAATATTGATTATTTTGAATTTTGAATTATCATAAATATATTCAAGATTCATAAAAAATTATTTTATTATTGAAATTCGGTAATAAGTATATTTCACTAAAATTTAAATATAAAAATGAAAACAATATGAAGATTTGGTAAGTAATGAATAATATGAGATATACTTATTAGAAATAAAATACAATGAAGCAAAAAAAGAATCAATAATTTTAACCAATTAAAAAAAAGAAGGAAAAATACAGCAAGAATGCTGATGAAGGATAATTAAATAAGATTTATGATCTATATTAATGATCATGATTAATATAATATTCATTCAAAGCTTTCTGTAATTTAGAAATATTATGATATAAGAATTAGATTGAAAAAGTAAAGATTTCAATAAGAACTATTAACTACATAAAAAAATTTAATTTTCAATTGATTGATTTTAAATAAAATAGAATTAGGGCATCCTTCGAAATAAATTTCTGCATAATTTAATGCTTTAAAGAATATAAAGAGAATTATTGTACTGTATATAATAAAATAATATATTAAGCAAAGAATTTAAAAATAGACTAATTTTTATCCAAAAGTTGAAAATTAATTTTTATTTAAGATTCATTACATATTCAAAAGTAATGAAATAAATTTTAATAAATTAAATACATTCTTATTTAAATTAATACAGAAACATTAAAATATCAAAACTATTTTTACATTTTATTGATTTACCCATTTATTGATTTTTTGAAGCGTCTACATAATAATAAATAAAATTTACATACGCATTTACTGATGCTTATTTCAGAAGCATATATTTAGGTTCAATTCCTTCATCAGTTTCATTCATTTTAGAGAAATCTCTAATAGTTTCTTCAACTTCTTCCTTTTTAATTGATAATTATTATTATGAATTAGAATTTTTAATAAATGATTTCTTTTTTTAACCAGAAATTTATTCTATGTAAGGATTTGGAGTAATAGTTAACTTTTTTTCTTGTTTATGTGGTTTTCTTTATTCTGGAGTCAATGTTAGGTTTTATTTACTATCGCGTACTCTAGAAAATGAATTAAATGATAATTTGCTTAATCTACTTATCATACTTGGTTAAATTCCTAACATTATACTTCCATTATTTTCCAATTCAGAATGAGAATCATTATAACTACTTACTGATTACATTCTATTCTTTCTTCTATTAATATCAGGTGTTAAATTGGATTTTCTTTATTCAGGAGTTTTGAGTAATGAATTCATCTCTAATTATTCAAGAGAATAATTAAGTAAAGAGCCTCCAATATTATTAGATGAGACATCTTCTTTTGATTTTTTGAATCTAAGAAATAATAAATTTTTAAAATTACAATGATGGTTTATTATTAACTAAATTGCTATTTTAACTACTAGATAAATGAGGTTCAATGGTTTATTTTCTTTTATCATCATTCCTATCTGATTTAGGACCAGTTTCCCAATCAAAGATTATATCTTTTTATTAATAATTGTGTTCTTAACATATTTTTTTAAAAAGTGATTGACAATATTTATAATTAGGTTCTGCTTTAAATGGTAAAGCTTTAATGTATTCTAAAAATCTTCCAAATTCAATAGGAATTCCTTTACAGAGTTCACTAATTTCCATTTTCATCTTCATTTAACCAACTTAACGCATTTTATCTTCTTCATCTGTGTATTACAAATTTTACCAGGGTAATTAACCTTTATAATATTAAATTGGTACATTTTACCCTTTAATAAGAAGATTAGCATATAACCTAAGGATTCTAAATCATCTCTTCTGCTTAAAGATGTACCTTTATGAGCATTAATACTAGCATATCTTGTAGTTCCAATAAATGGTTAATTTTCTCTGTAGGAACTAAATTTTACTGATTCATTTTTACATATGTGAATCATTTTCATCCTTATAAAATTTGCTGATTCCAAAATCAACTATATAAAGTAGATTTTCTTCTTCTTCTTTTCCCACTAGAACATTTTCAGGTTTAATATCTCGATGCAACACTTTGCTACATATTTAATTTATGATTACTTACTTTCTATGAATGTTTTCTAAAATATTGATCATTTGTTCAGCTATATTAAGTACACATCGTAATGAAAACTTACGAAATGTTTTAAGATAATGTGTCAAGTCTCTTCCCAAATATTATATAACAAGCACGTTTGAATCTCCTTCTTTTCCTGCCCAATACAACTTTGGAATCTAAGGTACTTTTTACAATCTTCTTAATATTTCTGCCTTATTAATTCATGATAATTCAATTACTTCTCTTTCTAGACTGGAGTCTTCTTTATTGGCTTTATCAATTTTTATGGCTACCAAAGCTCTGGTATTTATGTCTTGACCACAGTATACTACACCAAAAGACCCAGCAGAAACTCTCTTTTTGGTTATAAAAGTGTTGTTTATCAATTTTTAAAGCTATTGATTGCTCATTAAATTATAAACAACTCTAATTATTAATGATCTCTAATATTAGAGAAATCATTCCCAAAATCACAATTATTAATTCATACTTTTAATTTATTACTTCATTCCTTTCTTAAAATAATATTTTTATCAACAAAAAATCTAAAACCATGAAGAAATTAGTTTTAATACGACATGGAGAAAGTATCTTAAATAAGACTAATTCATTTGGTGGATGGTTGGATGTAGATTTATCAATAAAAGGAATTCAAGAGGCTTAACATGCTGCTATTTTATTATAATAAAATAATCATAATTTCGATGTAGTCCACACATCAATTTTAAAGAGATCCATTAAATCAGCTAATATTATGTTAGAAACAATGAATTCTTTATGGGTATCATAAAAAAGTAGTTGGAGATTAAATGAAAGACATTATGGAATATTATAAGGCATGAATAAAAAAGAAGCTTCTATAAAGTATGGAGAAGAACAAATTAAACAATGGAGAAGATCATTTTCTTAAAAACCTCCATAATCTTTAGATGGAAATAGTGAAAGTCTTGAAGATGTAACAATAAGAGTCAGACCCTATTGGGAAGATTGTATAGCAAAGGATATAAATTAAAATAAGTAGGTTCTTGTGGTTGGTCATAGCAATTCATTACGAGCTTTATTATGCATTATAAAGAAGCTGTCTGAATAATGTAAGTGATCTTTCTTATAACAGAACTGCTTGAATTGAATATTCCTACTGCAACTCCTTTGGTTATATAATTCAATGATAGATTGTAATATCAAGATGAGTTTTATTTAGGGAATCAAGAATAAATTAAGTAGAAAATAAAATAAGTGGCAAATTAGGGTTCTCTAAAATAAAATAAATGATATTATAATATGATAACAATTATAAAATATTAGAAATCTCATTTTATCTTAATGTTATTATACAAATATGATTATATTAGAGAATTACTTAAGAAGAATTATACTATTTTTATCATATTAAGATAAATTAATAATTTTTATTTAAATTTTCAGTTATGCAATAACAACCATAATTAGCTCCAACATATGAAAAATGTCCAACACATCCAATTAATGATATTGTTTTATTTTGTTTAAATGATGAATGTAAAGAGGTATAGTTTATTTTTAATATTTCAGCCTTTATGCAAAGAATGTTGTAAATTACATATTCAATAGCATAATCAATAAGGAACACCTGCTATTATTGATACTGTTGATAGTGTTAGAGAGATGCTATTTAATGATGTTCACAATCTAAAAATTAAATTTGAAGAGTATATTTTATGTAAATATTCTAGAGAAAGAGAAATATTACATCATTTTTCAGATGGAGAACATTCTCAACTTATTAAATCAATTCATGGAAAAATAGAATAAGTAAAGAAAAATCTTCATTAATTGATTAATGATTATTGTGATCAATTAGAAAAAGAAGTATAAAAAAGAATTCATTAACATAAAGTAATATTTAAATTAATTAATTAGGCTGCTCATCCTGGAGAGAAAAAAGAATTGCATCATAAACTCAATACTGTTATTAATTCATTAGATTAATAAGAAAAAGGATTGTAATCACAAAAATACATAAAATCTTGTTTAATTCTGTTATTTGAAAAGAAAGATCATGATTTAGAAGGATTATCTCTTGATATTGACAATGCTTTAAAGCATTATTTATAAAATATGTTTGATATATGTATCCATAATGATAAATTTGATAAAATAAGTAAATTATATAATATATATATTATAGATGATGTTTTAAGAGAGTATGTTGAAATTCATTAAGTTAATTTAGGAGAAGAATTAGAAAATTATACTTAATAAATAAGAGAAAATAAAAAGATTTAAGGAATATAATAATAATAATATTAGAATAAATAATAATAATAATATTAGAATTAATAATAATTCTAATAAAGTATTAAAAAATAAGAATTGAATCCTATTATTTCTTAAACAATTCCATAAACTAAATAGAATTATCAATCAATTTATGATATTCCTCATAATTAATTGAATATACGTAAAATAAATTATTAATTTAATAGATTCATCACTTTAATAATCTAGATTGGGATCAAATTCAAAGAATTATGAAAATAGATTGTAATAAAATAATGAAAAATTGAAGTAATATTATGGATGATATTTAAATTAAAAAATTATATAAATAACAGCAATTATGAATAAAGGTTAATCTCCAAGAAGAGATCATTCTCCCAATTTCTTTTATCATGTTACTAATGATAATTACATGTATAAGAGAAGTGCTGATACATAATAAACTGATCCAAATTGTATGACTAAATAAGCTAGAAATTATGTCAATAATACAAATCTTAATAATTCTCCTAGACCTACTGGATCACCTTCAAGAATGAATTTTACAATGCAAAATAAATATTTCCATCAATCAAATATCTTTGATGGAATTTAATAAACAAAAGACTATAAACCACCTGAATAGCCATTAAAAGAGAAATAACGTGATAATAAATCTCCTTCAATATTAAATGGAGCTCAAATAAATAAAAATTATAATTGTACTTTAGGTAAATCATAACCAATACTAAATAAATCAAAATAAATTACTATTGAATTTTAAACAGATAATAATAATTTTGATACTTTAGATTTAAAAAGATCTTTATTAAAATAAGGCATTTAGATTTCAGATATTTAAATGAAAAATCCAATAAACTCAGGAAGAACTAAAAATATTGGAAATATTACAGTAAGAGGAGATGAAGATAAATTATCAAATCTACATTAAGAACTTGAAAAAGTAGGACTTAAAACTTATGATAAACCAAATAATTATTATGTATTATAAAATCAATTATCTAGAAATAATAAGCAGATCATAATTGGATGCTTTAAAAATAGAAATATGACAAAATTGAATATTTCAAAAATCGTTGATTTCAAACAAATTAAATACACTTTCAATATTATCAATCCCTATCAATTTCTTCTCTAACTTGATCTCTATGAGCAAATGTTTTTTCTAAAAACATAGCCTAATCAAATCCACTAAAGAATTATTTCTTATCTACTTTCCTCATTCTCTCTAATCTATTATATTATAATCAATTATTATATACTCTTCCATTCTATCCTATCTATATTTTTCTTATTAAATTAAGGCTTATTTGCCTCCTAATCCCCAAACTTCAATAAATACAATCCCTATCTAACCTTCAATTTCTCCAGCAATATATCCAGGATGATAAGTATCATCTTCAGATGCAACTTTTGATCTATTTTCAATTTCATCATCTATCCATAAACGAAATGAAGTATGCTCTGAATTACCTCCAAATCCTAATCCCACTTTATATTTAGATCTATCTATATTTTTTGTGTTTAAATAAGCATAATTTTATCCATTACCAGTAGTACAATATGTTCTAAAACTTGGACTTATAGAAAATAAATAACATCCAGAATCTCCTTAGAATTTTAAACCATCTGTCCAAGGATTAGGATTATAAGCACCAAATATGATTGGAAGATTGTTTACTTCATAGAATAATTGATATTTACATTTCTTATCCAAATAAATAAGTATTAGAGTTGGTCCTCCATATCCTAAAATGTTCCATGCTAATCGATTAAAACTTGTTCCACTACTTTAATTATTATACAATTATGTCATTTCTGTACAAAAATGATTTTGTGTTGAAAGTACAGTGAATATTTCATCATCAATAATTTTAGAACTTTACTTTATTATAGGTTTTTCTAATTTCGATTGAATTTGATTAGATGATAATATTTTGACCCAATAGGCCTCAATATAATCACCAACTAAAGGCATTATGGAATTAATTTTATTGCACACATAACCTACTCTTTGATTTGAATCTAAACTATCATCTATTTATAGAATGTTTTTAATTACCATATATTCTATTCATTAAATATTTTGCTGCATCTCCATTTTTAATCATAGTAAATAAAATATTCAGTACACTTAAACAAACTTCATTTGCAATAGAGTCATTTTCTGAATATCCCATGAATTTAAACATCAATTCAACTGGACGCATCTTATTTAAATATTTAATATTATAGTCAGGAGCTTTTGTTAAGATATCACATAAATCTAAGTATTATTATAAATTTAAGGTATCAGTTTTGAATATTGATAGTACGAATTATTTAAATTAAAGTCCTAATTGTTAATTCTCTATAGGAATATGCGAAATATTGATTTTGTTTTCTTATTAATAAGTATTAAATGTCTAAGTATAAGCAATGTGATATTGATTTTGTACTTGATTAGTTTTCTTTGATTATTATTATTGTTATTATTGTTATTATTGTTATTATTATGATTTGCTTATTGATTATGATGGTTTATCTTATTAATTTCCCATTTTTAATAATATTTTGTATATAAATTTTTATGCAAAAACCTCTTGGTTCTCCTATTGATAAAAAATCAATGATGCAAAGAAACAATATGTCTTTAAGAAATTTGGCAGAAAAATCAATATTTGCCAAACAATAACTCAGTAAGTAAAGAAGATAAATGATCGTTTAGAAAAAGAAGTCAATCCATTAATCTATAATAATAAGATGAGCCATCTATTCATTATTCCTAACCTATAGAAACAAAGCGGGTATCATAGGCTAGTTTTCCTTTAATTCAACAGGATTCTAATGAATGTTTTTAAAAAGTTCTTGGATCTAAACAAGGATCGAAAGATGGGAGTGGAGAAGAAGATGATAGAATTGTTGCAAGTGATATAAAACCCTCTAAGATTAGAAGATAATCTCGTTTAAAGGATACTGAATCACCATAATCTCTTAAATTTTCACTGATCATAAGTCAATAAAGCAGATTAAAATAAAGTTGGGATGCAATAATTTTTATAGTATTAATGTATCATAATACGATTTATTAGATATGTTTGTATATTTACACCATATAAGATGGCATTTATAGATGATGGAGAATTTCTTGAATGGGATTATTTCGATAATTCTATTGATTATTTATTTATGGCTGATATAATCTGTACATTCTTATGTTCTTATTATGATGAAGAGAATAATATAATAAAAGATCCTAAATTAATTGCTATCAACTATTTAAAAGGTTGGTTTACAGTAGATTTAATAGTATATTTATGATAAATAATAATTAGTCTTGTTTTCCATTTTAATTCATATTTTAAGATTATAATAAATCAAGTAATATAGCAAGATTATCAAAATTACCTAAAATATATAGAGTTATAAAAATGGTTAAAATATTTAGAATGATTTAATTGAAGGATGTCTAATATATAAAGGTGATTAATATTAATATAGGAAGTGAAAGATTTTTTTATGCATTTATTTTATTGATATTTAGTTGTCATGTTACTGGATGCATTTGGTTTTTCATAGCCTCTTTATCTGAAGATCCTGATTGGGAATATAATTTTATATCAGGATATGATTAATATATATTATCCTTATATTGGGCAGTATAAACTATATTAACAGTTGGATATGGTGATGTAAAAGTATATAAGTGGCCATCATTTTTATTTGCAATATTTTGGATGTTAGTATCAGTATATATATTTTCTTTTGCTGTTGGTTCTTTAGCATCATTTTTAGATAGAATGGATCATGCAAATTCTATTTATGTTCATAGAGTTTCAACTTTGAAAAATATTAAGAAAGAATTTCATATATCAAATGCTATCTTTTAAAAAGTAAAAAAAGAATTAAAATCAGGTAAGAAAAATTTATTATTGAATTATAATACACTTTTAGAGGATTTACCTCCTTAATTAAGAGTTGAATTATCATTTATAATGAATAAATAATTATAAGAGGAAATTAAATATTTTCAAGATAAAGCACCTACATTTATAGCAGCTATAGGACCTGTTTTAACACCATTAAAAGTAGGAGCTCATGAATATTTATTTATGACTGGTGATAATGCAGAAGAAATATATTTTGTTAAAAGTGGAAAGCTTGCTTTAGTGATTCCAGATAATGATAATTTTAAATTTTTAATGATAAAACCTGGATCTTATTTTGGTGAAATAGATATATTGTTTTATGGAGAAAAAAGAAAATATACAATTATGACAACAAAAAAATGTGAATTTTATGTACTATCAAAAAAACATTTTAAACTCATATATTTAAATTAATTTAGAGATGAAGGATCTAAAATGATTAAGGATGCTTAAAAAAGAAAATAAATGATTAAATTAGCATATGAAGAAGCTTTATAATTTATTGAAGTTCATGGTGAAAAACATTTTAAAAGAAATTAATAACATTCATCTTAAACAATTTAACTTAAACATATGAATTCAGTTTCAAGTTCTAAAAGTCCATAAGAAAGTAATTATTTATAATTATATTTTAAGTGTCAGTTTCAAATTAAAAATTCTAATTAGAAAAAATCATTTAAGAAGAAAATGAAGATGATGATCAAGAGAGAGAAACTGAAGCTTTTATGTCATTAATGGATAGATAATAATTTAGAAAAAAAATTACTCAACTTGAAAAATAAATCTTATTAAAAGATTAAACTATTTAAGCTATATAATAAGAACTTGATGAATTAATGACTGAAATCTAATTAAAAAATTTGGATGCCTTATAAGAAAAAATTAAAGTACCCAAAACATTTGAAGAACATTTATAATAAAGACGTTTTTTAAAAGCCAATTAAAAACTTAAAGAAAAATTGAACAAAAGAAAAAGTAGGAAAGTTTCATTACGTTTCTCATTTAAGTAAACAACTTCCCTAAGTGGGTCAGAAAATAATTGTCATTCACTCTCTCCTTTAAAATTAGATTTTGAATAAGATTGAAAGATAATATATTTATAACTAACTTACTGTAGTTTATGTTAATTTATAAGTCATTCTAATTATGAATCATTTTTTAATTCCTATTCTTCTTATTATACTTCTTCTTCTTCTAAATATTAACCAATAAATTCTTAAGGTTTCTTATCTAATTATATTTCAAATTCTTCTTCAATTTATTATATTTGAACTTCAGGTTCTTTAAATTCAAAATTTTCTTAATCTAATTCTAATTAAACATATTATTAATTTTAAACTATCTCTATTACAGGTTCTTAAAGATCTAATAAATTTAAAAGATCTTATTCAACTTAAGGCTTGTCCTTTTGAATTTCTACTTTAGAATTATTATTATGCTCCTATTAAAATGGAATATTATTTTCTCCTAAATCGATATCTTCTGCAGTTGCATTATCAACTTATAAAATATCTTGATTGTTATTTTGTTAATCTAATTCAATTTATGGTTATTAAATCATTTATACAATTTTAACTTCAGGTTCTTCAAGTTCTAATAAATCCTCTGTTTCATACTTTTAATGAATTTCAGATTAACCTTTTGGTTTTTCATCTAATTCAATTTATTATTATTAATTATTTGAAATGATCTCATCTATTTGCTCTTATAATTCATTATCTGAATTTTAATCTTATTATTGTGCATTCTTCAATTCAAAGACCTCCTCATTTTCTTATTAATTATCTAATTCTATTTATTAAACCTCTTCAATTTATACTATATTAATCTATGGTTCTTATAAATCTTCTTATTTTTCTTATTCTTTATTATCAAGATCCTCTTAAAATTCTTCAAAACTCTATGAATATTCTTCTTCATTATCTTCAGGTTCTGGTGCTTTTCCCAAAGCAATATTACTTAAATCTTCATTTTCATATGTACCTTATTAATTATTTGGTTCTATTCTAGATAATTCTATTTATTTTTAAGATATTTATTAAAATTTTAATAGTTCATTCTCATATTTCACTTTTTATTATATAGCTTCAAATGCTTTATTTTTTAAGTCTTCAATTTCTCTTGTTAATTTAATCTCAATTAATTCTGCTTATAAATTGATTTATCTGTTTTCATATATTCTCTATTTTAATTAAGCATCATTATTTTTAATTTATTATTCTAATTATATTATTGTTTATTTTTAATCTTCAATTTATTCTTTAAATTACTTTATTTAAGATATTAGTAATTCTGTATCCTCATTATTATAATCATTTTAAGGTACTTATTATTAAAGATTCTTAATTTATTCTTCTTTTTCAACTATTGTTATTTCTAAATCTTAAATAATTTTTTAATTTTCACTTAATTCTATTGCTAATTCTTTTTAATTGTTATATAAATCTTCTATTTATTTTTTTGATTCATCTTATTATTCTTAATATTCAAATATAATTTATTTAAATCTTTCTATTTCTTCATCCTTCTCTTCAATTCTTTTCTATAAATCATCTTTTTAAGTTTATAATTCTTCTAAATTTAATTTTTATTCATTATTATTCTATTTCTATTAATATAGTTCTTTTTCCAATTTATCTATTTCTTCTGCATCATCATCAATTTATAAATTAAGTTAATTTTCTAATTCTTAATTTTTTTGTTTTAATAATTCAATTTCATATAATAATGTTTCTTAATCTTATCCATCTTATTGAGTCTCTAAATTTTACTATAACTCTTAAATTCTCTCTAATTATTATTAATTTTTAGATTCTTATTGTTCTTGATTTTCAATAATTAATTTTTGTATTTATAATTCTAATTCTTGATTCTATGATTATAATTATATAATGAACTATTCTTTTTCATTTATAATATTTTATTATTCCTGACATTAGAAATTTAATTTTTATACTTCTTCATTATTATTAATTAAATGAGAATTTTATGTTTCTAATTGTGATTAAATAACTTTAAATTGATTTAAAAGTTCTTAATTTTATTATTTAAGATTAATTAATTCAATGGATTATTAATTTGCAGCTTCTTCTAATTCTCCAATTCTTTCTTATAATTTATTTCTTTATTAATATAATTTTGCATTTTCATTTTCTAATTAAGTAAAGTTTGATAATTTTTCAGCATCCTTTTTTTATATTTCTTTTAAATGATGATCAAAACTATTTTATATTTATTATTTCTCTTTTTCTAAATTATTAATTTTTTTTTAATTATCTTCATTTGTCTTATTTAATAATTCAATCTCCATTTAACATTTTTGTAATTCCTCCAAATTTTCTTAATTTTATTTTTATAATAATACTATTTGATTTGTCAATTAATTATTTTATATTTGATACTCTTTATTTTCAGCTTTTTATTATGTTATTAATTTATCAAAATCCTTTGAATTTAAATTTTATTTTAATAACAAATCTTATTAATATTATATTTCAGCTTCTTTTTCTTTATTTATCAAATTTAATTATTCTATTTTTTTATTCAATTCTTCTATTAATGATTCTTATTAAATTTAATTTTAATTCATTTAATTCTATTATCTTAATTAAGTTAATTCTAATTCTAATTATTTAATTTTTAAAGATTTATCTTCTATGATTTTAAATTCCTTATTTTATTATTATAATAATTCTTCATTATTCTTTTTCAATATTATCAATTCTTCATTTATTTCTTCATAATCCATCAATTAATTTTATAGTTTACCATTTTCTTCTTATAATTCACTTAATAATCTTGCATAATATTTAATTTCTTATTCTAATTATATTGTATTAGATTTATTCTAGTCTTATCCTTTTAATTAATTAATTTCTTCTTAAAATTATTTAAGTTATTATTTTATATCATGATTCTATTATTTTTAATCTTAAATAATCATTTAAAGATTTTCATTCTCTTTTTCTAATGATGGTACTTTCTAAAAATCTTTTGCTTATTATTTCAATTTTGCAACTTCTCCTTCTAATAAATTTATCTCTTAAACTAGTTGATTATTTAAATTTTCTAATTATTGTAATTTCTCTTAATCTTATATATTAGTCTTATTTCTCTGTTCTCCTATTTGACTTAATAAACTTTTAATTTGTTTATCTTTTGCTTGTATTTGTAATTAAATATTTTAAATTTCTTGATTCCTTTATTATTCAATCTATTTTAATGAATAGAGATGATACATAATTATTTTTATTGATTTATTCATTCAATTTAGATGTCTATTATTATAGTTGTAATTTTAATTCTTCCTTATTTGTCTCCAATCCTTAAATCTTTTCTTTTAATTTATGAATTTCATTTTCTTTTTCTTCTAATTGAATTATAATTTCCTAATAATATTATATTATTATTTACATTTAATTCATTGTTTTTATACTAAGTTTTATTTTATATCTCAAGTTATCTATATAAACTTTCCCTCTCATTTTCAAACCTAATTTCAATAGATTCTATTTCTCTTTATTATTATTCAATTATTTCTTCATATTTCTTTCTCATTAGACCTTGCTCTTATTATTATTATCGAGATTATTGAGCTTAACGAAATTGGTATTCTTTGAGATTTGCAAAATATTTTTCTTTCCATTATGATAATTCCTTATTCAAAACTGATATCTCTTCTTTATAATTGTCTTCAATTATTTAAATTTCATTAATCTCAAGTACAAATTATTTGATTTGAGATTATTAATAAACAATCTCCTTCTCTCTTGCCTTTAATTTTGAGTCTTATGAATCTATTCTAAATTGTAATTCTTCAATTTTCTTTTTTAAATAAGAAACATCATTATCTTTGATATTTATAAAACTTCCACTTGTTTTAGTTGATATTTCATAAGACTTATTATTTACTTCATAAGGTTATCTATTGATGAATGAATAAATTACTTTGAACTTCCTCTTTTTATAGAATCACACCTAGAACGGATTTCATTTACTTTAGCTTTTGTTTCTCTTATACCAGCCATAAGATCTTAACAATTATTTTTCAAATTGCTTTCAAATAATAACTTCTTTCTGTCCATTTGATTTTATTAATATATTTTAAATCAACTGAATTTAAATAGAATTGCATTTACAATCTCATAATTTAAAATATATCAATAGAAGTACTCATAATAATAATAAATCAATAATAAGAACTTATGAAATAATTATAGTATATGATATTAACATAATATTTAATTATTTATGTTATTTAATTTCTTAAATTGAATTGTATACTTTTTAATAATAATATAATAGTATAATAATAATTAATGATAACTTAAAATCTAAAAAAATATCAATTAACTAATACTATTATAAACAATTATAGATTATATATTATATGTATGAAATTAATTAAATTTTATTAAATGAAATAAATAAGTATACTTTTCACTTGTAATTTTTTTATTTTATATCAGGCATTGCAAAATGATTTTTGAGAACTAATTTATTATTTTTTGCATAGGTTACAATCTATGGTCCTTAGTAAGTCTTTTATGGTTCAAACAACTTTTTTGAATTAACAGTTGAATTAGCTCTTGTAGAATTTGAAGTAGTGATTTTTGGTTAAGCTAATACACTAGGTTATCTTTATTGAACAGCTTATTAGCCAACTATATTAAGATCTGCTGGTTTCCTTTCTTAAGTCTTCATCATTTACCAACCCTTTCCATCCTATGGATTTTCACTTATTTTAAGTTATAGTGGTTCCTTTTTTACTATTTTTACTTCTTTTTCATAATTTCTTAATTATTTGATAAATCCATAATTAGGCTAAATGACACTTCTTCTCTTTTTTACAAAGTTAAAAGCCTCTTAAAAACCTAATCCTTTTGTTTTCATCAAATATGCTATCACTACTGAAGCTGATCTAGAGACTCCAGCAGCACAATGCACTAAAACTGATCCTCTTTTTAAACCTTCTATTATTTAAGTATTGGTGTCTGAAAATAATCTACCAATATTTGCAGTTTCTGAATCTAGGATATGATATACCTATCTTATATTAAATTCTCTACCTTATGAGTTATTCCAGGTTCTCTATAAGAAACATCTAAACCTGTTGCAACAGTTAATACTGTTTTAATACCTTTTGAATCTAGAAGAGTCCTGTCTAATGCTGCTGTAAAATCACCAAGCCAAAGAACATTTCCACTTTCTTCAATAATTTGATTCATTTATTGATAATTCGAATCAAACAATCTAAACATTTTTGATTATTTATTTTACTATTTTAATTAATAACATTTATGATAATTATGTAATCAAAAGTGATATATAAAAATATTAGAATTCTTAAAAAATTATAATTAATCAAACTATTTATGATGATTTTATTTAAATGTTGAATAAAAAATAAAATTATATAATTATTTTCCATATTTATAAGATAATATTGTAATTTTAGAATAAAAATAATCTCTAATCTTATTGATAACAAAAATGTAATAAATCAAAATATTTAAATTACGATTTAGATCCAATCTAATGTTTTAATAAGTTATTTAAATATAATAATTTTATAACAAGAATAATATTATTTATATCTAAAATATTTGGTGATTATTTTTTATAATAAAATTAATATTAAAAAGAATATCAATAATTTAAAGAAATAAAATATAATAAATAAACTCTATAATCAAAACAATCATTTATAATAAATAATTTATTACAAAGAAAATTGATTAAATTTAAAAATAATAAAGAATAAATTTCATATTATTAAAGCACCAGATATTTAGATAGAATTGGAAGGAATTAATGATAATGCATTTTAATTATACTTATATTCTTTTTTATATATATTTTTATGATCGATAGAAATAAATTAAATTTTATAATTTCTATTTTCTTTTTTTTATTATTCTAGTTCTAGAACATAATTTCTAGTTTACTTAATCTTTAAGTTCTTTAACATATTTGATCTAATTTAGTTGTAATTTTAAGAATTAATTTCTTCACAATTTCAACATTTTTTTAAGATTGATACATATCCAATCAAAGCTAAATTTCTATAATGTTATATATGTTAGATTAAAAATCTATAATAGTATGAAGGATTCTGATTTAAAATAACTTTTAAAGTATTATATTACAATTTATATTTTAGATATTAAAAATCATTAATTAATATCTCTTATGATGATATTATAATTAAATTTCGAAGTAAATATAATTCTTAATGAATTTCATCGATTTTTCATTTAGAGATAGTATAATTAATCATTGAAGCTATTAATTAGTTCATGTATGGTATTAAACCATTAAACGATGCTAAGTATTATTGAATACATAATGTATTAAAATTAATCTAATTGAGAAATAATAAAAATAAATAAATCATTTCTTTAATGCAAAATTAAAGCACATCTTTCCAAATGAATGAGTGTAAGAATAATGAGACGATAAAAGGAACAAAATAATTTCGCTCTAAAAACAATTAGATTGATAATTAAACAGAAAAATCATAGCTTGAATGTAGAAAAGATTCAGAAGGAACTAATTAAGGGAATGTATCAAGTTTAGTATAAATTAATAGAGTAAGGTTATATTGAAAAAAAAGAATGAAGAGTTTGATGAAAATACTTGTATAAAAAATATAATGAGTTTATCTTTGAGCATAATTTATGAAGAACTTTAATTTAATTGTTAGTAACAGAATTAGAAAGAATAAATTTCTGAACAAAGTAAAGTTATATAAAATTGTGATTAAAACGATATTGATTCATTTTAATTGCCTCCAACAGCATAACAATTTATTACTTAAAAATAAAAATCACATAAAAAATCAAAGAACAGGAAGAATAAAACAGATTCCTCATTGAAATTACCTAAAAATTAGACTCTAACTCAAAAATAATACCCACAATAACCATAAATATAATAACAATCTAAAGAAAAATAACATAATTAACTGACTCCATTAGGGTCTCATAAAATAAAACAATAATTAACTTAGTAAAGATAAAAAAAATAACTAAATAGCACTTAGATAGAAAATTGTGAATAAGAAAACAAAAAAGATTCTGCTGACTTTGATACTTAATTTAGTCATGTATTATTTATGTATTTATCATTTAGATTGGAGCAAGAAGTACAACTGCAGGAAATTCATAATCAGAATCAGATGATTGTTAATAATAATCATATGAAAATAAATAAATTGAATTAAGTGCATAAAAATTATCAAGCAGAGAAAAAACAAAAAAGAAAAACTATAACAATAATGGAGAAAAAGTTGGTGATAAATAATATCCTCATTCAACATAAACCACACCCATTAAAAGAAAACAATTGAATATAGTGAAATCTAAAACTTATGATATTGATGAATTATCCAATTATATTCAATAAAAAAGTTATCAAAATAGAATTAGAAAATAAATTTGTTTGAATAGACTTAATTATCTTATTTATACTAATTACCATCTAAATATGTATCCATATGGATCTTTTGAAACCGGACTAGATTTAGAGATAAGTGATGTAGATGTCGGAATATGGGGATCCTAAAACTTGACCTATATTTAAATAGTAAGTTTTCTATAACTATTAAATACTACTTTAAAGTAAACACCTTTTTTAATTAAATCTAAGTAATTATCATTATAAATATCTTTAGATTAATTTAAAGTCATATGCCAATTCTCAAATTAGAATTGAATCCAAAATCAAGTTTTTATGATGATGATTAACATATAAAATAAAATTGGTCTTATTTTCATTTAGATTAAAATGATTAAGGTATTATTAAATATTAAAATTTATTAGGAAAAATCATTTAAGTTGATATTAGTTGGATATATTAATGGAGTAATGTTTATAATAATCCTCATTTGGGATTTGCTTCAACTACAATTATTAAAGATTGGATAAGTAGATTTGTGTGGTATAGAGATATCATGTTAATTCTTAAACATTTAGTTAAATCAAAAAATTTAAATGATGCCCACACAGGTATTTAATATATATCTATTCTAAATAGGGGGAATAAGTTCATTTTGTTTATCAATAATGTTAGCTGCAATCTATATGTGTAAGCATTACACTTAAAATGATAAAAAATAAATTCTTCTTGACTTTTTAAAGAAGTATGGTACTCAATTCGATCCATTAAAAGAGGGTATTTATATTGACAGTTATGGGTATAAAATAAATCTAAATTAGATAATAACATCCATTTATAGCTTTGGAAGAATGTCCTCCTTATAATCCTCTCACAATTTATTCCCCTATTAATTATTAAGTTATTTCTCAAAAAGTTCATCGATTTTTAGAGATCTAAGAAGAATTTAAACAACTTTATGAACACTTGTCTAAATCTAATAAAATTTAAGACTACTTTGATTTACCTTTATAAGTGAATTAACCATTATTTATATGATTATATTGTGACTTATATTTTAATATTAATATATATATTTAAAAAAAATATAGAATTTTATAACTAGGAGAATTAAAATAATATAAATAAAAGAAGATAATATTATTATTAGTAACTTAAAATCAATAATAAATTTATATGATAATTTAATTTAAATTGTTATTATAATAATAACATGAAAAAGTAATATCTGAAATCTGAAATATAGCCATAATATGATTATTAATTGTATTATATTATATATTGAATGAGATAGAAGGACAAGATTATAAAAGAGAGAGATTCAATTTTATAAAATTTGTTGTATATTTATTTTTAATGGAACTATATTGTTATTATTTCAACTCTATCTTAGAATGTAATAAAAGATTGCTACTCCAATTAAAGCTGAAAATACAATAAAGGCAATTCCTTATTTTGGTTGATACCTTAACCAAACACAACCTATAATTAATAAGTTTATTGGAATAGTTATTATAAAACTGGCTAAAATGTAGACATATCCAGTGAGTGAATCTAAAAAGTATCCAACCAAATGGGACAATGAAACTACCCATGAATTAGGATAGAATAACAAGCTAAATGAAAATCCCTATATAAAATTAATAAAATATATTACCATTATTAAATATGCTAGAATTCGTTTTATCAATGCGACACATGTATCATAATTTATTTTTTTTTAAAAAGCCTGATTTTATGTCAAAATTGAATCAAAGATCCAATCTATTTCAGTTAAGGGGTGATCGATTGCTCTAAAGAACTTGCAACAACAACAACAGCAATTAACAAAAGAGAATTACATTTAATCAAAATTAATATCTCTTGCCACAGTTTCATCAAATTTATCGTGAACTACAAAAGAAGTAAATGAATCATTATTTTATTGAGAAACCACTGTTGTAGGACCAGTTTTTGAATAATTAAATGAGACTCTTAAATCATTAATTGTTAAAGTTCCTTTATTTTATTCGAAATATAAATATTTTCCATTTGGTTCACTAATATATATTAATAAATGTTACAAATTCTCAAATCCTCTTGAATATCCATAGAAATTGGCAGCTACTTAAGCATTATTATTAGTCATTACAATACTTTAATTTGCATTTGTTTGTAATGCTAAAGATTTGCTCATTAAATAAGCACCTATGTGAACATTCTTATTAATTTATGTCTCTTATTCTACAATCAATTTAGTTTTATCATTTTTGCAACTTCCACAATTTTCAGAGAAATCTGTGCTCCATTCCTAAGAAAAAGAAGCACTAGTTGTTCCATCTTCATTTTCAGTATATGTTACTACCCATATATACATTTCGACTGTTCTAACTAACTTAACACAATCTTTTAAAGTCAAACCAAAAGCAGCATCAACAATTAAATCAGAGGTTTAACTCAAACCTAATAAAATGATATAGATGATATTTTACCATTTATGTGAATTAATTAATTATTAGTATTAGGATTTACTTCTAGTGAGTTGACTGAAGTACATAATTTCTTTGCTTCTTCTAATCTATATTCTGTAATTGCGTTTCTATTTTATTATTTTATAAATAAAAACTTTCTTTCATTGTGACACAAAATAGAAAGAGCCAAAATCATACTTATGAATCCAAAAATGTAACATATTGTATTCTCTACTTGAGAAAATGATGTAGGTTCATGCTCAATCTGATGCCCTAATATTTAATATATTAAAAACATTATATATGTCTTCTCAAATTGTTGCTTGAATTACATTAAGGGATTAGTATGGACAATAATATCAACTCAATTAACCTATGATTAGATTAAATAAATCTTCTCATTATTAGATTCTTTTAATTATTAGAGCTTTTAAATTATTTCTGTATATATTCAAATGCTGTTTAGTATAAACTCTTAATTAATTAAATTTCATATCTAATTAAATTAAATCAATTATAAGAAGTTTCTTCTTATTTATTATTAATTAATTCATTGAATTTCATAAGTTTATCGACAATTATATCAATTAATCGATAAGTAGATATGTAAAAAATTAATAAATAAAAAGTATAACTAAAACTTGAAAATATACTTTTTTTATATACTAATTATCAAACTTAACCCATTGCAATACCATAACCAAACTTATATGAATCCTTGTTGTAATCTGCAATTGCACATAATTTTAATTGATAGGCAAATCCTTACAAAGTTAAAGCAGAACTAAATTTCATTTTTGAATTGACAGTTATAATGACTTCTGATGTAGCAAACTTTTATCTATAACCCTTAAAATGAATAAATAAATTCTATTACAAGAATAGTTCTAGATTCTCCTGATTAATTTGAATATTCAAATTCAGACATAAAATAGGCTTTATCCAATAGCTAAATTTAAATAAATATCTATACTCTGTGATTATAAGCTAAAATCAATTAATCAGCAGCTCCTACATATTAGGCATATAAATTCTACTTTTGACTAATTCCAAATTTAAATGCATAACTCATCAATGACATATTTCTTTCAGTCTAATATAATTTAATATAATACTAATGTCATCATTTCATATCCTAGAACAACCCTCTTTCCAATTGTTTACATCATATTAAAACTGTACAATCCTGTACCCAATTTAATTGAATGAACATAATCTTCTCCAGAAATATCACAATCTAAATGAATTTATGCATTATTTGGACTAGAATCTAAATAAAAAGCACTTAATCTATTATAATGATAGAATTGTATAGAATTACCTAAAATTAAATGTTTCATTCAATTTCTTTATAATGGCAGCTTCTAATTTACCTGTAGAGTCCCATCTTCCTGTCATTATGTAAGAAGGTTAATCAAATGGAGTTCTCAACTCTCCTCCTAAATATTGAGCAGCTAGAGTATAGCTTGGGACAGGTGGTTATTTCATAGGATTAGGATTAGGAGCTTTGCCTTTGTTCTAAATTTATAGATATGATCAAAATACTGATGGAGGAATCATCCAAGAATGAGCTAAATGAAAATTATTTGATAATCCTCCTGCTACTTCAAATTTAAATCCTTTGATATGTTCTACTTTTTTTGTAACAGCTCTAACATTATTCAATAAACCATCAAAAAGTGGTGGTCTTCTTGGGTAACGATTTCTAAATTAAGGTGGTAAACTCATTTCTTCTTCATCATTTATTTTAAGATGTGGATCTTATTAGGCAAATGCTGGATTATCCATGTCAACCTATTCTTTATTGATTGCTGCCATTATTAATTTTTAATTAATTTATTATGAATTAAGATGATCACAATTCTAATGAACAAAAACCTGATAAAAAACTTCACTATTATGATCAGGATTGGCCATAATAATAACAAACCATATCACCAAGATTCACTCCATAGTAGTTTTATCTCTAACCTCCTTAAAATATCTCTGCATTCAATCTCTTACCTGAACAAGAACTCATAGATAAAAATAAGCCAAAATATCCATTTAGAAAACTATCTGCTGGAGATGGTTTAGATTAATAGGAAGACGATCATAATCGCCATTTTAACAATTATCCACCATATTATTTGTAAATACCATAACAAATGAAATATCCTCAAAATAACTAGTATATGCATAAATTTCCATAACCATATCCTCCTCCTTGGTATAGACCTCCATATCCACCATTTTACTATCCTCCTTATGATATGTCATAATACTAAAATACTTTATCAAAAGAACTCTAATCTAAAGTTAGTCAATTAGTTTAATATTAAAAAGTCTCTCCTTTTTAATGCAATTGCAAAAAAAGTAAATGTCTAAAACTATATTGTGAATGTTTTACAAATAATTGGGTTTTATTTATCAATATTTTAGGTGTGTTCCTAAAGTTGTAATTGTACTGAATGCAAAAATAGAATTGACAATCCAAATGAAAGATCTAAAGCTATAGAAGAAGCACTCCTTAGAAATCCAGAAGCATTTGCTCCTATTTTAACAAATAATGGTTAATAACCATAAATCATCTAAGGTATAAAGAGTGTTTAAATATTGAAAGAATAAAAGTCTTAGAAAGACATACAGAAAGAAACAAAAAAGGGTTGCAATTGTAAAAAATCAGAATGTAAGAAAAAATACTGTGAATGTTATAGCATCAATTAAAAATGCACTGATTTGTGTAAATGTGAAAATTGTCTAAATAAGGAGGAATAATAAAAGTAACCAGAGAAAATAGAAAATTGTGTATCCATAGAAATTATTTAGTATTAATAATAATAAGAAGAATAAAACATGTAAAAAAAATAAGATAATAAATCAAAAAAAATTAAAAAGGAAATAATATAAAATAATAAAAATAATAAGAAAAATAAAAAAAATTGAAATTCTACATCTATGTAAATATATTAAATACCAAACATAATTAAATAACATATATTATCATTAAACTTTACTTAAATTTTTTAATTCTTTTATTAATGGCAATATATTCTTTCCTTCCTTTGATTATTCTTAAATCTTTTAACTTGCCCACATCATAAAAATTTCATCCTCTTTTTCTAATTTTCTTTATTTCTCTTTTTATTAATCTAATTATTTAAGATATTCTTTTTCTCTTAAAACCTAAATAATAATTTAATAAAATATTAATTACTATCTTTTCATTAATTTAATCTTATTAAAATTTTGCATTTTGAATTCTTCTATCTCCTTATGCTGTATTTTCTGCATTTTCTATTTCTTCTAGTTCTTTCCCTCTTTTTTCCCAATAGATTTAAAATTCTTTTTTTTTATGATAATCAACAGCTTAACTGATTACAATACAAAATACATTTTGATTCTTACTCTTTAACTTCATCCTTTATCATTCTGCTATAATCAATTGCTTTAAACATTTATTCTCTCTTCTACTTTTTTTTTTTCCACTTCTTCAGCTTTAACTTGTACTTAAATAATTTATTTATTTAAATGTTCTTCCTATGCCTTTTTAACTATTAAATCTATCGATCTATCATTTTTTATCTCTATTACTATTTCTCATGAAATTTTAAATCCTCTCTAACCTTTCTCATTTCAACTATTCTTTATTTCTTCTCTGCATGCAATCGTATTTGCTCCTCCTCCTCTTTCTCCTTATTTCTTTATTAAATCTTAAACTCCTTTAATTAATCATTTGCCTATTATACTAATCTCTAATTTTCCAATAACTTTCCCTATTTTAATCTTTATATCTTTTATTCTTCTTCTAAAGAATCTTTAACCTTTTATTTAATTAATTCTCCTTCAATCCTCTCTTCTTTCCATTTTGTGAGATATTTCTCTTTCATTTCTTCATGTTATCTAAATATCTATTATCTTACTTGTGTAACATAATCATTTATTTCTTTATTCTTTATTATTACATTTTCTATTTCAAACTCTATTATTAATCATATTCATCTAATTACTCTTCTAAAATTTATTAATATATCTCTTTTTATTATTTAAGAAGTTCTTTCTTATATTTCTCCATTACAATTTATTCATCCCTCTCCTACAAAACATCAGAAAATAACATTTTTTCATGAAAAACTTTAACCTATCGCTATCTTCATAAATTTATTTATTTGCTTATTCTAAAGTAATCTTCTTTTGTCCTTTCTAAAAGATTTCCTCTTCAATATCAATTTACCTTCTCTCTTCCTCTACTGCAGTAAATTTCTCAAATCTATGTTAATCTCTTTTTTATTTATACGCTGCTATTGTAGTAGGCCATCTTTTCATCCTCTCCTTTGAATTTGCCTTCCTTTAAATTAAAACAAGTTATACATTCTCATTTTATCCAATTATCTTTCTTCTTAAACTAAATTGCCACCCTTAAGCTTTCCTCTAATATTATTTAATCCAGAAAGGGGAATCAGAGTTTGAGTTTAAGTCTTTGAAAATTGATTTATTAGATAGCATTTATTTTAATGAGTTATTAATTAAACTCAAATTATTAAGAAATTATTTACATCTTTAACCAATATGTATTTCAAGTAAAATATTATTAAATATATTAAATAAGAAATATTATGAAATTTTATAAATCTTCAGTGAAAAATTATTATTTAAATAATAGTTTATATAATTAAGTTTTATATTCATTTTAAAGTTTTTTTAAGATAAAATTATTATTTTCAACTTAGTTATTATTAGCCTTATATACATAAATGTTAGCAACCTATTAAGAGGAAAAAATAATTAAATAAATTAAATATACTCTCTTTTTTTCTTTTCCTTAATGGTAAACTATTATATTTACTTATCTTAATCAATATATTAATTACATATAAGATTTTATTATTTGAAACATTACTTAAAAGTAATAGTTTTATGTCCAAAAATTAAAAAATAAGAGATATTTTAACAGAACAAAAAAATCAAAGCTAGAATTTTGATGAATTTGAACTCCTCATTTATCTAGAATAAATAAATTAAAGCCAAATTTAAAATTGTAATTAGATATGTTAAAGTCGTCTCTACTTAAGTGAATAAAAAGAAATAAATTTAAATACGAAAGAAAAAAATAAATAGAAAAAGGATATATTAGCTAACAATTGATTTTAATACTATGTGTTTAGAAAAGAACCATATGAATAATTTACTACAAAATTTGTATTATTTGCTTAATTAAATAGTAGTGAATTTAGTATAATGATATTAAAAACTATGAAATGTAAATAAAGAGTAGTTTAATAATAAATCATAAATATTAAATGTCAGATCATTAACTGTCTTTTTGAACATCTATCCATTTAATTCTCTTACCATCTGCCCATTCACCTCGTTTGGTTGTCCCATCTGATTTAATAAAGACTCCTTAACCTGATTATTTCCCATCAACCCATTAACCAATATACTTTCTACCATCACTCCAAATAAAGGTACCATGCCCATGTTTTTTATCTTCTTTATATCTAATAATATATTAAATTTAATAATTTACTCTCCCTCATAAGATCTACCATCAGGCCATTTAGTTAATCCATATCCATGCATTTTATTCTTATACCAATCTCCATTATATTACCTTTTGTCAGCCCAAACATACAAACCTAAATAAATAAATATAATTCCATACCTTTCCCATGGATATCATTTGATTGAAATTCTCCATCATAAAAGGAACCATCAATAAATTCTAATCTTCCTTTACCATGCTTTTTACCATCTATATACTATCCTTTGTATTTAGATCCATCTGGCCAACTTTCTTCACCAAATCCTTCTTATTTGTCATCTTTCCATTATCCTTGATATGTTGCTCCATTACTATGATAGTATCTTCCAAAACCATTAGCTTTATCATTAGCCCATTCACCATCATATATATCTCCATCTGCATGTATTAACTTGCCTCTACCACAAGCCTTATCATTAACCCATTCTCCCTCATATACTGATTAATCTGGCCAAACTTATCTTCCCCACCCATTTCTTTATTCATCTTTCCACTATCCAGTATAAATTGCTCCTGATTCTAGAGTGACCGGTTCGCATTTATCAAGAAAAGAATCATGTTGTAATTAAGTTTTTATTTCTTCAAACCTCTAATTTGATCGCTTTAATTGTTCTTAATAATCATTCTCCTAATGAACTTATGGAACATTCACATCTGAAGATTGTTGAGACTATCTGATTGAATGGCCTGATCCTTTTAGGCCTTAATCAATTTATTACTCCACATCTGATTGATTTGCATGATTTGCATTAACTATTGTGTGATCTGTATTGCTTTATCCACATATTCCACTACAAGCCCCCATGTATAAATATTTAGTAAAATTAATTAATTTGATATATGAAAAAATTAAAAATTTTAAAGAATTCCAATCTTCGTTTATGTTTAAATGATACCTATTGTTATAGGCTAAAAATAATTAATACTGATAAACTAAAAAACTCACTTTTACATTCTTATTACATAATTTTATTTATTAAATAAATTTAAAGCTAAAATTAAACAACATAAAAAAGAAATCAAATATAATTCACAAGACTATGCAATTATTTAGTTGCTTTTTTTATAAATTATATTTTTACTACTGTCTCATTTAAGTTCCGATAAATTTTATAAATTACCATAAAGTCAGTAAAATCATGTTTAATTTAATTATACTATAATTGTATTAATTTGAAAAGTTTATTTTATTTGAATTTGAAAAAATCTATATAAAATAGATAATTCTATCTAAATATATTTTTCTAATTGTTTAAAAATATCTAAAGTTAAAAAAGAGATTATTTTGTTAATTATTAAATTTAGATTTGAAGCTCATAAATAAATAATTTTTTATTTACATTATTATGATTATAAATTATAAATTATTAAAATTCATAGAATCCATGATAAATGTATTAAATTATTGATTAAATTAAAATTTGTAAATATTATAAAATTCTTAACGATATCCTTGTTAATTAAGTAATTCATTTTCAATTTTTATGAAGATTATAATAAATTATTGAAATAAAGTGATTTGAAGTGGAAGTTTATAATTCAATTTATTATTATTATTTAATCTTGAGATGATATTCAATTCTACTATAATCTTTTAAATTTTTGTTTTAATTATTCATTAGATTCTACTAATATCAAGTATTATTTATTATTTATTTTTGTATGCTTTTCTTGTTATTTTCTATCTAACAAAGATTTTAAATTTGTAAAATAAAATGGCGAGTTATCTTATTAGTATTAGTATCAGTTATATTGAATTATTATTTATTTCATATCCAAACTGATTTATGGAAACATTTTTTAAATTATGTTATAATAATAATAAAGTAATTCAGTTGTAAGATTTTAAATATTGATTTAGATTAATATTGCTTCAATAAACATAAATTAAATATATTTTATTTATATCTCTTCATTTTTGAATTATCTTTAATTAAAGTGAAACTATTTTACATCCACTTGAATAAAATATAAATCATAAAATTGAAAATAACACTTTTTTTGTTTCTAATATTATTATAACCTTCAAGGCACTTATTGAGTATTGAATACTTTTAATTTAAATATATTGGATTAATTAAAGAGATGATATAATAAGAACTTAAAATAAATAACTATGTAACATTAATCATAATTTATTTAAATTTTTTTGTGAATTTTTAAACATTTTAGTTTGAGTGACAATCTGTTTTTAATCCATCCATCATTTTATTATTAATACATAAACTCTTTAATAACCTATAGATTCTTCTCAATTAATAAGATACTTGTTATCTCAACCTATATATTTGAGGTATATTTAAATTACTTATTCTAGCCAATTGGAAATTCTGTCATTATTATTTTGTAGTGATTTGTTATATAAGACTAAACAACAAATATTATTAAAGAACGAATAGAAAAATAGCAAATTGTTGATCAAAAGCTTGATTGTATTTTATATATTATGTTATCTGATAATCATATTATCATCAGATCAAAATTGGATATGGATTTGTCAAAAGTCTAGTATAGATAAATATTATCATACTTCACTTTTTAGCTATTCTATTAGCTAATTGTGCCTTAAACAATAGCATTCGTCTTGGATTGCTAAAATCAATTTTCTCAACCGTAAAATAAAAAAGAGTGTTAATAGAACTATTTGATTTTGTCGCTTTGATTGTTTCTGGAGTCTGCCTATTCATAATTGATATTTATCTTTAAATTATTTATTAAAAAGAAGAAATATATAGATTATGGTTTTGTAGATGAATAAGCTTGCTTATTTTGTATATTTATTCATATGAGTATCTACTGCTAATTTTTATAGAAATCCATCAAAAAGCTATTTTGATAATGCAAGATAGATCTACTATTTGTATAAAAATAGACAGTTATTTTCTATTTCTATTTTTTTCTAAGTGATAATCATAAGTCTGCTTGGTGTAATATTATTCTTTAAATGAATATATACATAATAGACAAATAATAATATGAGTAGTTTCTCTTAAAATTTTATAGAAATTTGTATTTAATGACATATAGTTTTTAGAGTCTTCTAGATTTATAATATATATAATAAATAACATAAAAACGGAAATGAGATTATTATTAGTTCTTTTGATAGTCACAATAGTTTCTGCCTCAATGGCTCCTCCCATTACAAGTAATGACAAAAAATGGGTGAGATCATCAATTGAAAATAATGATTGCCATAAAGATTGTAAAAGAGCAGATGGTCATGTTTGTGCAGGATTACATAAATCATAATGTTGTTAAAGACATTGGTGTTTATAGGATGAAAAACTACATGATGTATGGAGCTGCAGAACTGGATTGTAATATTTTATATTATAATAAAACTTTAGCGAAATTCATGTTGATTCATGTAATTCATTCCCTAAAAGAGATGCAGGTTTTCTATAAGAAACAGATTGATATAAGCAATTAAAAATCATTTACATACCTAGTAAAATCAATATATTCTTTTACTTCTTCTTCTTCAAAATTAAATTTCAAAATATATAGCAAATCAATAAAATAAGAATCATACAAAGAAATGAAACCATTTATTAAAAAATAAACTAATAAATCATTCTAGTTATTTTCTTCAATATCTGTAAGCAATCAAATATATTATGAAAATATTCATCAGAAATTAAATAATAAGGTTCATTTTATTAATTTTCTTATATATAGAGATATATATTTTATATATTAAACTAATAACAATTACACGCGTGAATTGATTAATAAAAATATTAAAACTAGAAAAATATCAAGATGGTACTCATTCTTATATATCATAGCCATCTGCTTAAACAATGAAATTGAGAAGCCAAAACTATTAAGGAAACATTCATAAATAAGGAAAGGTTCCAAAATCATTGATTGTAATATAATTAAATGTTAATATTATAATAGAAAAAAGAAGAAAATCTACCAGTGGGTCCAATATTATTAGGAGTATTCTTGTTTGTAGTAGTTGGATCAGGTAATAATTATTATTTATTAACAAAAAGCCTTGTTTCAAATACTCAATGTAGCTTCAAGTGGATAAGATGTTTGATCTATATATTTGCTATATCAATGTTTTATTTTAAGAATACAGAAACTAAAATCTAATGTAGTTAATATCTTTTCAAGCATTCATCATAGTATTCATTTTCTTAATTAATCCCCACTTATTAAATTATTCATAAGTAATCTTATTAGGATGTATTTATATTTTTTCATGGAGAATTTATTATTCATCATTCTAAAAATTTATTAAACTTATAATGGACTTCTATCTTCACTTATAATTAATTAAAAATAAAACCTTAATAATAAATTCATTTTATTATATCAATTAGAGAGAATTTTAAAAGATTGTATATTAATAAAGTAAGAGTTTGAATGTGAAATTTAATAAATCAAATTTAAGAGAAATTCAAGAGATTTTAATATCATTTCTAATAAAAATAACTGAATTTTTGATAAATCAATCGAATTAATCATTTTACACAGTCTTGTATTATTTAACATTAATATTAGATGAGTTAATCATTTAGTAAAATCAATTATGTTTATTTTACAATTTAAACAATGAAAATATTATATATAATCTTTATATTTTATAATTTTTTTGTTTAAAATAATTCATTAGCTATGCATATTAAGTCAAATATTAAATTTGTATCAAATTGTTTAGAAATGTATTTATTTTGACCTATAAAAAGTTATTTTGGTCTGATATTATAAGTTTAAAGTATAACAAGGGCTATGAAAAATTTCACATATATATTCGTTTAACAAATGTAATACATTACTGATATTGTTAATTTTTAGACTTGAAATTACCTAATCATAAATAGACATTATTGATCAAAATTAATGTTAAATGGCTATAAGAATGAATGAAAAATAAATAATTATTTATATTTTAATGAATAAAGAATAGGATAATAAAGAACTTTTAATAGGAAAGGATTGGGAAGGAAAAAAATTCTTATCCATGATGAGGATCATCATAAAGCAGAACTTATTGATATTTAAGCAGTATTAAATGATACACTTGATAAATTAGATAAAATCGAAAAGATAGAAATATTTATGACTATCCTTAACTTTACAACAAAATCTTTATCTCTATATCTTGTCTTAATTTATTATGATAAAGTCTTCAAATTTGATTCTATATTGCTATTCAGTTATCTCTTATATTCACTATTTGAATTGGTTGCTTTTGGAGCATCATTTGCAGTTTTTTTGAGTGCTCATATAATATCAGCAGTATTGAGTGTTAACGTATTCTATTTAGGTAATAAATACTATATTCTTAGACAGTTTCATCTATATACCTATCTTTTATTCTGTATTTAAATTTTGCTTTGTAGTGACATTTCTTGTTTAATCATTAACAGTGGTGATCTTTTCTAAGTTTTCAAATTGGATATTCCCCTTAGTTCTAGTATGATTAGCAATTCTAATAAAAATAGATAGCATTACTTTTTGTAACTCTCATATTACAAGTAAGTAGATTAATCCTGATGGTTGGTGAGAAGTTTAGTTCCTTAACAAAGTACATTGATACAAACTGGATATTTAAATTATTGGCTTCTGAAAATTTGAGAAAGTATGTTATTTTATCCCTATATTAATTAAGGGTTACCAAATCACAAGAAATATGTTATATCAAGTTTTTAATATTTTTGAAGAACTCAATCCAGAATACTAAGGATTTATTCAGAGCGGATATAAATATTAAACGTAAATGATTGAGTTTAAAGAAGATATACAATAGGCTAAGGATTTAATTAAAACATCAATTATAGAAATTATGATGTATAAGACAATCCTTCTTTAAATAAGTAATCTCCTGTTATATGATGATGAATATAAATTAGAAGTATAAGCATTTCATAAAAAGTATAAAATTAAAATCTTTTCCAAATTCAAATATTATTAAAAATGAGTTATTTGTCTCAATCCAGCCGATTAACTTTCTTGTTAATTTAGCTGAAAAACTAAGCCCTAATAACATCAGACTAATATTCTCGACTTTGTGATCATGCTGCTAAGGATGATCCAAAATTAAAGCAACTACTTATATCCTATGAGAATGGTTTATCATAAAGAGAATTTATAGATCAAATATCAAAAATGTTAGATACTCAAAATGTTAATGAAAACATCATAAAATCTTATTTGTAAGTTATCTAATCATTATTATTAGTGATTCTATTGACTATATATGTAAATCATTCAAGAATAAAATTAAGGAGTTTTATCGTGATATTAAGGTAAAATGAATCTTAATTTCATCTTAGCAAGATATCAATCAAATCTATAAGGAATGTTATATTGCATAACATCACAAACAGGAAGTAAAGGATCTAATTAGATTAATTCTTAAGCAATTTTATATTAATGAATTTACATTACTATAATTTACATAAGATGATCAATGTCAAATACTTACAAATAATTTTGAATCAATTACAATTAAAGATGCTTAAAATATACGATAATTTACAAAATAACAATTATCTAATTAATTATTCGAGACTTCAGCAGAATATGTTACTTTATTAAAAATAGAAAAATTACCACAATTTTATGTAATATCAAATAATGATGTAATTTTTTTTACTTTCACTGAAAAAATCAATAGTTCATTTAAATAGTATTTCATAATTACTTTTCTATACAATCATATTATTTCAATTATCATAAAAGGAAATTAAATTGTAGGATTAAAAAAATAATAGACTATTAGAATGGAAATTTTATAATTAGTCTCAAAGACTATAAACATTTTAATTTACAAACTGCTCTTTAAAATTTTAATTTAGATAATGAAATAATTTAATTTGTAAATTTTGATGAGTTAGATAGATTATTAAGATTAATAATTGTAATAAAAAGTTAAAAATTATTTATTATTAAATTTTAAAAGGGAATGGGATTGTGTTTATATAGATATGGAAGGCAACCTTTCAATATAATTGAAAGAAAAAATAAAAAGTACTTTTAAGAAAAGTATAAAAAAATATAATAAAAAATTGAAGTAGAAAAAGAATTTATTAGAATCTTTCTAATAAGTCACTTAACATAATGAAATGATTATGTGTTTATTCTTTAACAGTTATTTATAATTATATTATATGACTGTATAATGGAATCATGATTAATTTGTGTATAAAAAATACATATATATATAGATCTCGATTCAAATTATCTAAAGAAATCAATTTTGAAGATCCTATATATAAAATATTTGAGAAAAATCCTATTGTAATATAAAAGGTTAAAGAATTAATTGAATCTAAAAATGATCATTTAGAATTTAATGATGGATTTTATAAATTTTCTTTGAAAGTTGAAAGAGGAATGAAAAAAGAAATTAAATAAATATCTCTTTATTTATTTTATATGTAATTGAAAAGGTATTTATTATATTTTTGATTTATAATAAGACCGCTCTGTGAATTATTACAAATTTTTCGAAACAAAGTTAAAGTTTTATTAACAATATAGAGAGCAACATTGGCATTTAAATCTAAAAAACTTATGATGGGCAATCAATTCTATAGATAATCAGCATTGATGATGTATTTACCAGATCAAGATATGAGAAGATTAAATTTGATCTACAATTAAGCTCATGATTAAGCATTATAAAAATATCTAGATAATACTATGAAGAAAAAATCAAAAAAATTAGAATAATTCTTAGCTAAATATGAGGAAGATGATAAAAATAATCCAGATGGAAGAAAAATAGCAATAGATCCTAATTTATAAGAAAGATTATTAGATTATGAATTCAATCTATTGAATAAGAAATTATATAAGAATAAATTTATTATAGTGTATAATATCTTTGATATGCTTGAATACACTAAATAATTTACATTAAAAAATAATGAACTCATTAATTTTTTAACTGCTTTAAAATACAAATATAATAAAACAGCAAATCCATTTCATAATTTTACACATGGAGTTAATGTAATGCATGGATGTTTTCTTTTTGCTCATCATCCAAAATTTGGATTTTGTTTTAATGATTAATAAAGATTTGCTATGACTTTAGCAGGTTTATGTCATGATGTAGGGCATCCTGGGACAAATAATTTATTTTAAATTAATGCTTAGACTAAATTGGCTTTATTATATAATGATAAATCTGTATTAGAAAATCATCATATAGCAGTCACTTATAAATTATTGGCTTTAAAATAATGTGATTTTTTGGGATCTATTCCTAGAGTAGATAAAATAATGATTAGAAAATATATTGTGAATAATGTATTAGCTACTGATAATTAATATCATTTTAAATTACTTAATGATATTGAAATCAAATTTGGTCAATCTTAAGGGGATCCAAAAATCTTTTGTATATTATGAAGTTATATAATAATTAGAATCTGATGATAATAAGCTTTTATTAAGTGGTTTCTTGACTCATGCGGCTGACTTTTTTGGAGCAGCAAAGTCTTACCAAGTAGCTAAGGCATGGAGCGAAAGATTAAGGAGAGAATTTTAAGCTTAAGTAAATTACTGATAATATAATTTTTAAAGTCTTAATTAGAAGATATAGTTGGTATCGCTTAGACTCCATATCTCAGAAATTTAGATAATGAAGTTTAATATGCTAAAAATGAGATTGGATTCTTGAAGGTAATTGTGAAACCAATTTATGAATCTTTGAATCAGTTCTCTGATGGTGCAATGTCATTATAATTAGCAAATATTAATCTAAGTATAAAAAAATATTAAGAAATCGTTGACTAACATTAATAATGATGAATATGATTCTATAAAGACTTATAAAATACTAATATCATTATAATTCACTATCTGATAGATCAGAATCATTTCCAGAAAATGCTTCCAATTTTTTATTGATATCTTGCATTAGATCAATACTTCGATTAAAAGAATTTCTACATTCTTCTATAGATACTCTATTAGTCGATTTGTTCTAACTATTATTACTATCTGAACATGGACAACTCACCAAATCTAAATTGTTATCTATTATTAGATAAACTATCTTTACTCTTATCTTATTCATTCATAGCAGCTTATTCCTTTTGTTCTTCTATAAGTTACTAATTTCTTGACTATAGACACCCCATTAAATAATTAAATATTTATTATAGAATTCATTTATATTTCATAAATATTATCTTGGTTCTATCTTTTACAATTATTATACTATTTATTTAATATAATTATAGTAGTTAGTATCAAAAATATCATTCATTTAGTTATATTTATAAAAATACATTTATGGTATAATCAATCTATTATAATCAACAAAATAAATTGAAGATATTTACAATATAATCAATAGATATTCCATTAATTAATAACACAATCATAAATGAATCAGAACTCGCTTGGATGCTTGGCAATTTTCATCTACTATTCAAGAGCACATGGACTATATGTAAACTACACTAATAAGAAGAGATATTTATCCTCTTATAAATTCATCTATCCATTACAATGGATGAATTGATTACTTAGATGAGAATAGAAAATTAAAAAAAAGAACTTATAAACAGTAAAGTTTAATAAAGCATTCCTTCTAGAGCCTATCCTATCTTAAATAGTATGGTTTGAATATAATTTTAATCGTTATTTCCAAATTTGGGTAATAATAATAATCTATAATTCTATTAATTACCAATCGTTAAAAAATTGATCAAATTAAAATTGAATAATTACTTAAAAATTGATGAATTAAAAATATAACTTTAAATTTATATATTATTAGTATATCCTAAATATATATTATAGATAATCTAACTGTAATGATCTGAATGATAGAGTGTATAAAATCTAAATTTCATTAAATCAAGTGATTCATTAAATCGGATTTGAAATTAAATGAAAAATTATACTCTCAGAATAAATATTGTTTGTACTCTAAACTTTTTTATTAATAAAAATGATGCAAGATATTCTATATCTATAAAAATCAAAAAACTAATAAAATTATTTCAACCTATTTATATTCATAATATATTCTTAGGATTTCTGACTAATTAAATTTTATTTTAACTTTTTGAATACTAAATACTATACTATATCTAAGGGTGATTAAATAAATATAGAGTAAAGAATAAATAACTGTATTTTTACTATTATGAAATGAATTTAAGTTTGAAGCATATTAAAATATAGTAAATAAAATATATATATTTGAAGTTTCAAGTTGTGTATTCTAATTTAAAGTTGACTATATCTATAATATAAAATAATTATTATGTAAATATTCAATAAATTTATGATAGATAATTTTACTTATAATAATTTTCAAATTTTAAATATAATTAATAATATTTTACATCTTATTTCTCTTTTGAAATAGATTTGAATTATACTGTAGTTATAAAATTACTTTGATTTTAAATATTTTTCTTGAAACATAAACATAAACATAATTCAGAATATTAATTACTAAAGCATTTTACTTAAATAATAAAATCAAAAAATAAATAAAAAAAATATATGATAAATCCTATTTATAAATTTTGATAATATATTTTTCTTTGTTTATTGAGATATGATACTCTTTTGAATCCTTATTTGAATTAATTTCAATTATAATGAAGGCATTGTTATTTCTATTTATTTAATATTATCGTTGTCTCACACAGTTAGATAATATTAAAATGTGAAACACATAATTTTAAATCTAATTTAAAAAATCCAAGATTTTAATGAAGGTAACTAAATATGCTTTGCTTAGTTCAACATTTCCTATCCTTTGACAGGCGCTTAAAAAACAGTCGAAATCGATGATGACAAGAAATGGTAATAAAATATTGGTGATTATGTAGCTCCATATTCTTCGATAAGAGAATGGGACAAGTTGTCGAAGCTGATAACCTAGGTGATGAATACAAAGGTTATGTATTCAAGATTACTGGTGGTAACGATAAACAAGGTTTCCCAATGAGACAAGGTGTCCTATTCAAGGGAAGAGTGAGAATCCTTATGAGAAAAGGTCACAAGGGTTATAGACCAAGAAAGGATGGAGAGATGAAACGCAAATCAATTAGAGGATGCATTGTAGGTCAAGACATCAGAGTCCTTGCCTTATAAGTAGTAAAAAAGGGTGCCAATGAAATTGCTGGACTTACAGATTAAAATGTTCCAAGAAGATTAGGTCCAAAGAGATTAACTAAATTAAGAAGATTATTTGGATTCAAGAAGACTGATGGTGTTGCTATAGTTTAAAAGAATCTCATTAGAAGAACATGGACCACAAAAGATGGAAAGAAGAGATAAAAGGCACCAAAAATTTAAAGACTCGTCACTGAATCAAGATTGAGAAGAAAGACTATCTAAAAGAAGACAGAATAAGCTAGAAGAACCAAAGCCAAATAAGCTTTAGAAGCATATAAAAAATTGGCTCATGATGTCCATGAAGCTCACAAGAAGCACAGAAAAGCTTCATCTGAAATCAAAGAGAAAGCTAAAGAAGAACCAAAAGTATTAAAATTAAGCTTAATTATTAGACTAAAGATACAAAATAAGCTAAATCAACTTAAGCAGCTAAACCAGCAACATAAGCTAAGGGTGCTGCTCCAGCCAAAGCAGCTGTTCCTGTTAAAGCAGCAGCTCCAGTTAAGACAACTGCACCAGCCAAGACTGTACCATAACCAACTCAAAAAGCTCCAACCAAAGCCAAGAAATGAAAATGATATTATAAAATAAAGTACATTACATAAAAATAATGATAAAATGAATAAATATCAATTTGAAAATGAAAAGTGTGGAGATTCTTATTGTTGTCTCTTATCTACAAAATCAAATTTTATCATTTATTTCTATTTGGAAGTCTAGGGTTAAAATTTAACATGTTCTTAATTCACTTTATTCAAATTTTTTAAAGAGTGTCTTTTTGGTGTATTGTTTTGTAAGTCTTTAAGATAATGTTGATCAATAACTAATGAAAAAGGTGGCATGATTTGAGAAAAGTGTGAAAAGTGACGATTAAATCTATAAAAACAAAGCATTTTTTCTTATAGTACTTAACACTATAATAATAAAATATCATTTTTACTTCTTTATATAATTCTAGGATTTATAATTTGTTCTATTTAGAGTCATATTAATTTTCAATTAATTACTTGACATCTTTCATTATAAAGATAGCAATATCTTACAAATCATAATATATGAATTTAACAGTATTGGCTAATAATATATTAGATTAGAATGACTCTACAATTTCAATTTAGGATTAAATGCTTATTCCTAAATTGCATTAATTTGATAATGTGAAATAAATTAATAAATCGCCATTGATTACGTCTTCATTAATAAATGTTGTTTGAGAAGCTAGCTTATAAAGATAAAAATAGTATTGTTGACAGACTTTTCCTAAAGTAGTATTGTTGATTTGAATATTAATTTGTTTTGATATTAAAATTTTAGATAATTCAGCTCGAGCTACTTGTGAACTTAAAATTAGATGAAGTAAAAGTAGAAGTTTTAATTTTACTTATAAGTTCCCATCTTTTTAAGATTCTTTTTCAAAGATTTTAAATAAAGACTTTAAGAATTATTTCTAGAAATATGAATGCATTAATGTACTTTAGTTTATGAGTTTTCAAAGAAGGACTTAAGACGAATAGAAATTTATTATTAGGATTAGAATTCATTGTCAGTATCAAATATGTTGAGATCTCTAAGAGCATCTATGATAGGTTAAGAATTGTTGACAAATTCTTTGAAATTAGTAATCATAATATTAGATATTTTCAATTTGAAATCCAATTTAATTAGAATTCTTAATTGGAATTCTTAATAATAACATAAATTGATAAAGAATTAATAGATAAGATAAGTATTTTATTTAATAAGGTAAGAAAGACAATAATTTAGTTATAGTATTATAATTATTCAAATATTAATAAACAAATATTAGAAGAGATGAAAGCAGCTTGTATATTTTATAATTAGAAAAGTAATGAATTTCTTTAGTAATTATAGCTTTTCTTGGACCAACTATATTTGTATTATTGTAGATTGGTTTACATGTATGGGCCTACAAAGAATTCCTCTTGTATTATTAAATTTAGGGGTTGTTTTATTATTGAACTATCAACTTAGACCTTTTATGTTTATTACAAGTGGATTGTATTTTATAATACGATTCAAAGATACTGGAACTATTCCAATAGTTAAGATAGAACTTCCAATTGAGAATAATCAAGTAGAAGTATAGATTGAAAATAATGTAAAAAGAGAAGTACTTAATGCTTTAGCAAATGATGAATCTAATGGTTAGATTTCATTGGATTAATTCAAAGATGGTCCAGATAATGAAAATACAATTTAAAAGTATAATGTAATATCATTTTTATAGATATTATCCAGAATAATAGTAATAATAATAGACAAACAATTAGCATATTTTATCAGATAGAGGAATGCTTTCATCACCTTCCTCTGAATAAGTTAAAATTAATACTCCAAATAAATAAATTTGTATTAGTACTTCAAATGCAATAATGCCTACAATTTTATCAACAGAAAAGAGATTCTGTATGTAATGTTTAAATGAGTAGCCAATGAGATCAAAACATTGTTAATATTGTAAGAAATGTATTCCAATGTTTGATCATCATTGTCCTTGGATTGGTATATGTATAGGAGAAAAGAATAAACTTTTATTTCTAATATATTTGTTTGTCCAAATTGCATAGTTAATAGTAGGCATTCGAATTTCTGTTTAAAATATTGGATTACTTATAATTATGGGAATTATTGTAATTTTATTAATTACTCTATTTGGATTTCATGCATTTTATGTAGCTAAAAATATTACAACATGTAAAGTGATCAATAATATAAGGGGAATACTTAAGTTGGAAAAGGATTTCGTATATCGATTAGAATTAAAGATATCCATTTGATAAAGGTGTAATAAAGAATATTAGATTGCTTATCCAAATTTCTTGCCAAAAAGAGATTTACGATTGGTAAATATAATCTTAATGAGTACTTTTATTTTAAAATAAATTCAAATTTATTTATTTTAAGATTTTTAACATATATTTTCAAACATCTTTTGAAAATGTAATCTCTCTTTGTCAAGTGTTAAAAATGTTAACAAAGACCTGCTACTATTAAATGTAACTAATGTAGATATGGTCAAACATACAGATTATGTTATTCATGTGATTCTTAAATTCATAATCGAACAGGTCCTGTAGATTAGCAACATAAAACTGAAATTATTCCATATTAAGGTATTGGTTAATATTAACACAATTCTAGAAATGTACTAGAAAAATTAAGGTAGTGTCCCTGTTCCTTAAAAAAATGATTAAAGAAATTCATTCAAAAAAAATGATTATAAACCTTAACCTTAAGTTCCAACAAAGGAGTTTATAAATAATGAGTATAAGAAACCTGAATATTCAAAAACAATTGATATTAATAGAGTAAGCAATAAACATGATTATTTGGATAAAAAAATCGATAGTCATGATAAAAGAGCTGATCAATAATATTTATCTAATGATAAAAGACCTTATTCTTCTAATTAAAAAATTACATCTGATAATGATAGAAATAGTCAGCAATTAATTAGTTAATTAAGAGAAGAATAATAACAAACAGAAAAACTTAAGGCTGAATTATAATAAGCTAATTAAAGAGAGAGAGATACATAACGAAGATTGTAATAAATAATTTATAAATCTTTAGATAAAAATAAGAATAAGAATTTGAATAAAAAAGTAGAGAGGATAAATAAAAAATTTAATAATTAACAGAAGAAAATAGAAATTTGAATAATAAATTAAATTAAACAAATAAACATATATAAGAGGAAGTAAATAAAGTAAGAAATCAATATGAAGATTAAATAAATGAATTAGAATAAATTCTTAATGAAAAAAATTAGTAATTAGAAAGTATTGCTTAAGAATATAATTTGGTATAAATTTGTATAAATTTATTAGGAAGAATTATAATAAACTCTTAATGAATTACAATAAGAATCTTAAATGAAAGATTAAATTATTGAATAATTATAATAAAATTTAAATGATAATTAAGAAGAATTATAATAATTGAAGGAAGAATTTATTAATAATAATTCTAAAAAGAATTTATAATCCTCAAATAAAAAATCTGTTAAGAGTAATGATAATCAAAAAGATGAAATTATATAAGAATTAGGATAATAATTAGAAGCTAAAGATGAAGAAATACATAAATTAGAAGGTAATTTTAATATATAATTAAGATTTAATTGAAAATTTCAAGTAATTATATTAACATATGAGTGATGAAAAATAACAATTATAAGAAGAAGTAGAAAAATTGGCAAATGAAAATAATTAATTTAGAGATATATTCAGTGTATGAATTATTAATTATTGGCTAATAGCAAAATTTACATCTTTTTGGAATAGATCCAGAATAATTAAATGAAGAAGGAGAGGAAGGAGAAAATGATTATCCAGAAGAAATTGCTGAAGAAAATGATGATCAAAATGATTGATTTTTTATATAAATAATAAGATATTAATTTGATTGCTTATGTGAATAAATACTAATTTATCTATTATTACTTTTAAATATTGTTAATTTATTATTCATTAACTAATTTATTATAATGAATTCAATTTTTATTTTATGAGTAATTAAATTCATAACCAAAAAAAATGTAGACTTTTTAAAATTTTGTATATGATAAATATTTTATGTCATCCAAAACTAAAGAGTTTTAATCATTTATTATTTTTGATGATTTTGATGACAGAATACAAATGGCTAAGAAAATAATACTAAATAATGAATAATTTAGTTTTTCTCTTAATATATACTCAAGTGAATTGAATATGATCTTAGAAAACCTTTATCCCTTAATGATTATTTTGAATAATTAGAATTATAAAATATATTAATTTATAAACTTATGTAATAATATTTTATAGATAAAGACAAATCAATTTGGATTTTACTTGCTTAGCATATTAAGGATCAATAATTATTTAATAAAGAAATAGGTTTAAATGAAAATTGTATTTATGCTTTAGTAAATCCAGAATATGTATAATATGATAAATAAAATAGTTGGTTTCATTATAAGCATGTCTTATTGCAATTTACAGAATGCTTAAGAAAAAAGAATATAAACTTTCATCATAATTCTAAAGAGATTTGCATTATCTATTAACACCTGAAAGTTAAAGAAATGATATTAGATTTGGAATTACAAACATTTTGACTTAAAGGATGTTGTGTATATTTCTTACACCAGTAAGTGAAGAACAATTAAAAAGCTTTGAATTAGATGAATTGACAAACTTATACCAATATTGTAATATTCCTCAAATGATCAAGTATTATAAAATAAGTGATGAAGAATTGAAAGTTGATAAAGATGTAAGAGGAGCTGTTTATAATTCAATAGCACTTAAAAAATTTAAGTGAATAATATATATAAACATTTTATAAATAAATATTATAAAACCATTTCTAATTAGTTCATTATTTATACATCTCATTATTTATCTATAAGTTATTTTTTAATTTACAGCATTATTAGGAATTTTGCTTATTAATTGATAGATAATTTATTCCTTTGTACCTTTTAGAGACACTATAACATTACAAATTAATTAAGAGGTAGATCTATAGTATTTAATACCTATCTCAATAGGTTAAATATCTGGATTATTTGATTCTTAATCTAAATTAATATAATTTAAGGAAGGTTATTGAAGATTATTAATCTTTTTATTGTATTCTATCATAATTCTTGGTTTGAATTTTTTAGTCTATTTTGGTTAACAGAAAGCCTTAGATATGCTTTGTTAAAATGGATAAAAAGTTTTAGTTTACAATATTAATAAAGAAATGATTAAATAAAGCAGATCTTGAATTCATTTTACTGATGATATGAAAATTACATTATTTAATTTTACTCATTATATGAATAGAATTGCCAAAAATCAAAATAATGTATTAAGTTAAACTATATTGAAACTTCAATAATTTCACTATTTGAAAATACTCTATTGAAAGTTACACTTTTTATTTAGTTTAATTTATTATATACTTAATTTTAGAATTGTCCTTTTTTACAAGACATTTTATTATGTATCGTATAAACTTAAACTGGAAAAGATAAGATAAAATAAATAGTAGAATCCTGCATTAGTAATATTTTAAGCTCAGTAGCAGCTGCTTTCATTATTTAATTCAAAGGATTTGGAAGAAAAAACTAATTACTTGTATTTTTTATAATATTAGACATTATAGAATTAATTGAATTTTATAATATTGAACATCATTTTAAATATTAAACTACTACATTTAAGTTTTTCTAATTAAAACTATCATCTTATTGTATCATAACTAAATTTTATTTTAGATTTTTATTAATCTAAAGCTTAAGTATTTCCAAAGTAAATTAGGATAACTGGGTATAGAATTACAAATGGAATAGAAAGATTTGGAAAAGTAATCTTACCATAAATCTGAATGTATATGAATAGCCAGATTCTAAGAAATCCATTTATATTATTTTCTGTTTTTTAATTTATTACGTCATTTTTCGAAAGGTTTCTAATCATTTGAGACCTTAGAGAAAGAATTGGAATGACAAATTAAGATATAAAATATTATTAAAAATGGAAATCACAGAAGAATAACTAATTCAAGAAGCAATTAAAGCTAAAGAAAGAGCATATTGCCCATATTCAAATTTTAGAGTAGGATGTTCTTTATTGACAAAAAATAACAAATTATATACAGGATGTAATGTTGAAAATGCTAGTTATGGGCTTTGTGTTTGTGCTGAACGTGTAGCGATATGCAAAGCTGTTAGTGAAGGGGATCGTCAAATTTCAACTATTGTAGTTTCATGGTATATTTCTAATTTTATAAATAGTGATACATAAGAGCCTACATTTCCTTGTGGTATGTGTAGATAAACAATAATTGAAGTAAAAACACTTTTAATCTATAGTTTTGCTATTCTGGCAATGATATTAAAATTATTGCTATAGGGAAAGATCATTCAAAACCAAAGTATTCTAAAGGCTCTGAAGTTATACCATATGCTTTTGTACCTCAAGATCTCCACGTTGATCCTTAGTTGGAAAAAAAATGATAACATTATTAAATAAGAAACAAATACAAAACACATTCCTTTTGATTTACTTAATTTTAATTTTGTGATATTTCTTAAATATTTAACCTAAACAATTATTATCAATTTTTTTTCATTAGAAATGCTCACTCTAATTATCTTATAATATATATTTATGATAATTATTGTGTATAGAGTATACTTATTATATAAATATTTATCTAATTTGATCTCATACTCTTTGAATTAGATAATATTTATTTATAAACCTCCAAAATAAAATATTTAATTAATAAAAAAGTTCATGGCTTTTGTTAGTATTACTAATATTGTTGTTGATGACAAATCCTAACCATTTACTAGTCCAATAACAATGGATATATACTTTGATGTAATAGCAGATATTGAAGATGAAATAGAATGGACGTAATAAATTATTTATTAATCTTAGTCTTCTCTATATAGGTTCTCCAAAAGATGAAGCTCATGATTAAATATTAGATTAATTTTCTATGGGACCTTTGACTAAGGGAACTAAGTAATTTACTCTTGAATCAAATCCTCCAGATTGGAAAAAAATTCCATAAGATGAATTATTAGGTATTACTGCTTTTATTTTGACTTGTTCATACAGACAAAGAGAATTTTTTAGAGTTGGATATTATGTCTATAATACCTATACATCCCCTGAAAACATTGAAAACGACCCCTAAGAAGTCATAATAGAAGATATTGCTAGATAAATCTTCAATAATAAACCCCGTATAACTCGATTTGAAATTGATTGGAATAACCCTGCTAATTCTGATGTTCAATAACAGCCAATTTAAACAAAAGCCTATATGTTTTAAGAATAATAAGAGAAATAATCAGCTGATGCAACAGAAGTTTATAATGCTCCTCATTAGATTTAAAATGTATTTGATTCTTGATCATATTTTAATTAAAAACTTATTAAATAATTAAATTACACATATAAAAATTTTATCTGCATAATATCAATTTGAAAAAAACAATTATATTTGTACATAATTGAATGGCTTTACATAATCCATATAGAAAGGTAATATTGAATAAGTATATTAATTTTATTAATAGATAGCATCTTTAATTTTAATTGATTTCAGATTAAATTAGAAAATAAAGATAGAATAGTAATTTATTTCTATTCGAATTCTTTATCTATTATTCAATCCAGATTAGAAATATAAAATGATTAGATAATCGATATTTTATTTCAAAATTAAAAAAAAATAGTATAAATAATAATTTATAAGCATTTCCATTTTCCTTCATTTAAATATCAAATTATTTAATTAGTTTTATTTTTATTAATCCTATAAAATCAATTTTAGATTAATATAAAATCTAATCTATTGTTATCATATACTTATGTATATATTAAAAAATTCATTGAAATTGTTTAGTAGAATGTGTAATCATAATACTTTTGAATGAATTAATCATATTCTTTAATGTTTAATCTCATTTTTTTATGGAAATGGTTTATTCTAAATTATAATAAATTTATATTCTTATAGAACATTAAAATTTTAATTCATTCATTTTTCTTTTATTTTTACAAATGTCAGACGAATAAAATGCAGAATAAAAATAATTTCTTTAGGATGGACAATAAGAATAATCACAATAATAATAAATTGATGAACATACTCAATAACCTAAAGAAGATATTTAATAAAAAGAAGACAATTAAGAAAAGTTGGAAAAGAAAGAAGAAGCTGTTGAATAAATGAAATAAGATATAGGAGTAAAGAGTGATATAGAATAATAACAAGAAGCTTCTGAAACACCTGAAAAAATTGTGTAAAAGGAACCTGAATCAGAAATTATTAAAGATGAAAATAAAATTGAAGGTGATTAATCAAAAGGATAGGAAGATAAATCATAAGTAATTGAAAAAAGTCCAGAAACAATATCATCAAATTTAGAGAATTTATTCTTAAAAGCAGATTATACTTTTCCAGTATTTTAGTATTCTATATTATAGATTGAAATAAAAGTATGTGATCCTGTTTAAAAAGGTGGAGGTATATCTACATATATAGTTTACACAATCAAAGGAAAAGATTGTTTTGGAGAATTTGAAACATGTAGAAGATTTAATGAATTCTACACAATCAGAGAATTACTCTTAGCTAAATGGCCTGGATAATATATACCACCAATTCCTGAGAAATCTGTAAGTACAGGAACAGAAATAATAATTGAAAGGACAAGATTGCTTAATATATTTTGTATGAAGATGATGTAGATTAAGCATCTCTATTATTCAGAAGAATTTTATGATATATTTTTAAGGTCAACAAATCCTGATATCAACAAAGTATTTTGATATATAAAATATTAAATAGTAAATAGCTTAGATACCAAAATAAAAT